CAAGGTAAGTTTGTTTTGCCTCAACCTATGGCATATTGTATCGTTTTAGGAAATCTATAGTACCTCTATCCTTAACATGCTGATCAAGACAAAAGATTTCCTTTGATATGAATCTACAGTTAACACATGTCTGTATGCACAGTAGCATTAAGTTATCAATTATCTTAATAGAAAAAAAATACAGATAAAAAAAATGTGGGTAGAGGAGGTCTTCCATTTAGAGAGTAAAATGTGTGACAGCAAATAAAATCATATGAATGAACATTGTAAAAACAGTAACAGATGAGTATTTACCCAGTAATGAATGATCCTTGTTGGTTGACTCTCCATCTCCTGTCGGAAGGTCGGGTCTGGTGTAATCACGACTTTTGTCATTGTTGTATTTAACGTTGAGGTTGACCAGTTTACTGAAGTCTATCCGCAGAGTGCAGCACGAATTATAGATGTTCTGTCCATCCAACGACTGGAGTAGAAGAAACAAGTGTTAGAGCGTCACCAATAAACATACTTTAGTATTTTTCATCCATACTCTATTTGCAGAAAAAAAACTAACTTAAAAAAAAAGGAACAATAATTACATCCTGTGAACAGGGCTGTGAAAGTAAAAATTTAAAAATGTATTTTTTAATGTAATATAAAAGTTTAAATAAAAAAAACTTAAATGTGACAATTTTAGAAAGTAAAGAAATTCAGTGACCTGATTAAAAACAAATTACATTTTAATTTTTAACAAGGAAGTCTGAGGATTTATGCTCATTAAAACAGTTTTTTCATGAACCATTAATATGTAATAATCAATCAGAATATCCAGTAAATAAACTAAAACTGAAACAAGTAATAATGCATGTTGTTCTTTTACCTAGAAAGTGACAGCTGATGCTGCGTCACATTTACAGGCAACATCTGTGTTTTGGTAGACCAAAACTAAATTTCAAGTTTCACAAAAAGTGGTTAAATTCTTTGTTAACTAAATATCATTGAGTTGGATCAGATCATGTGATCAAAGTCAACAGTGTTGATTGGTATCCTACCAGTTTAGCTTGCTGAGCATTGACTGGGTCACTGAACTGCAGAAGAGCCTGAAACTGGTTGTTCTTAGTGAAGGTTATAATCTTCATAACGGTCCCAAACTTGCTGAAAATCTGAAACAAAAAAAATCATTAAAAATTTTTTTTGGGGAAACAATGAAAGCTATTAATCTGATCATTCCCTCACAAACGATGTTTTCTCTGTGTTAAATGCTCAGAGTTTACCTGTTGTAAAACATCCAGTGTTACAGGATAAAACATGTTGTCGATAATAATTCGCAGCACAGGGCTGGGGGGCGGAGCGAGCTCCAACACGCCCTGGTCAGAGGACGGAGAGCTGCCATCTTGGACAGCTGACACCGCCTGCAGGACTGCCTGGGCTCTCTGGATGGAAATAAAAAAAACAATAGATAACATTAAAATCTTCCGCTACGTCTGTTAATGGTTGATTCAAGGAAGCTTTGTGTCTGAATGAAATTTGAGGCCCATATATACCTGGTTCAGAGCTGAATCTGTTTTCAGTTCTTTATGGTTAGAATATTGGATGAAGACAGGAGTATTTCTGACCTGAAAAAAAAAAACGTGACTATGTTTAACAACAAAATGACATATTAATAAATGAGAAAAATAAAAATACTGAGTTCAGACCTGTGGTGTTACAGCTGTGTAGTAGTTCACCATAGTAATTGCTGCTTCCTCTGTACCCAACTCTAGAAATGCCTAAAGAACAAGAACCAAATGAAACTGTCAATATTTAAAACTGAGAGAACAACATTATACAGTAAGCCTATATTAATGTGCTCAGGCTTTATAGAGCCTACCTGGTTTTTTCCCTTCAGCATCAGAATGTTGGTGACCTTTCCAAAGGGCAGGCCGAGAGCAATGACCTCCGTCTCTGTCACTTCGTTGGGAAGTTTTCGGATGTGGAGCACTCTGGAGGGAGGGGACTCGTCCAGGCGCTGTTTCTTACTATCACTACCGTTTGCTGAACATAGGTTCACAAGCAAAAACATTAAACAGAAATCGGCGTAGTTTGAAGCTGTCTCCATCCAACAGTTGAGAGACTGTAGCCATCACAAGGGGAGCTGGGCCATACAGGCTGCACATGTAAATAATTTCTTGAATAAACCCCACCCCCCAAAACCTAGCCATTTGAAATCTGCTGAGGTTCAGTTGTTTACTGAACACAACTTTCCGTGTCATTTCCTGACCTTCTTTCTGAGCACAAAATGTATTGCAGATGTGTAAATAAAGTATGTCAGCAGGTTTGATCAAACTCACCTGTCATTGAGTTGGGGCTGCTACTGTACATGTTCAGCTCATCTGAGCCTCTCTAAATAACAAGGACAAAAAGCAGAAAGTCACATTTTTACTCTCCAACTTGAATACAAGATGAATAGGATGGATATGACAGCACAGATTAAAGAAAGAAAAAATGTTTTGATATTAATAAGTAATAGTTTACCTTCACACCAACTGCAACATCACTGGAAATAGAATGGGAAAAAAAGATATTGAAGCAAAGGCAGAGAGAATATTTTCTGCAATCTCAGCCCTACTGTACAATATGATGCATTGTGAAGTGTATAAACAATATAATATTATATAGTAAAAAGTGCAATAAGTGGTTTAATACATACTTATAAATATGTATCTGAAAATAATGTCATTTTATCTAAATCAGAAAAATAAGTGTGGGTTGTTTCGCTCCCTTGCCATTTTTTGCCTTTGGCAGCTTTAGTCCCATTAATTCAAGTAGAGAACAAAGTTGAAAATTATTGAACAGAACAAACGCTATTTTTTTCTTCTGTTCACTGAAAACATCAAGACTAAGAACTCCCACAATTTTTGTTCTATTAACTTTAACAATGACAGTCAGCAATAGGCACCACACCCTCCCAACCAACCCATCAAGAATAACAGAGGGGGAATGATGGCTGGATGACTGGATGGTAAGTATGGAAAAAATGCAAGCTGGACATTTTTTTTGTGGGGTTACAGGCAGAAAATTGTGTTTCTTTTAAAAATATATATATTGTAAATATCACATTGTACAGTAACAAACATTACCTTATGGGGTCTGACAAGCTTACAGGCTAATTAGCTGATGCTAACAACAAAAATAAAATAAAAATGAACGTTTTATGGCAATAAATAAAAATATATTTCAATTGTAAACTTTTATATAATTGCGAGTCACATTTCTCACATGTTTAAATCCAAATTCAAGGACATAAATTAACCAACGTTGTACCTTTTGTTATTTCCTTACTCAGAAGTGTTACGCTCTGTCCACAGCAGACGCGGCTCGATCCCACGCATAAACCCTATATAAGGTCATCGCCATATGAAAAAGTGACTGAATTTCTGACCCCAGCAGCTGTTTTTCAGCAGTGAGGCTGGACGGAAAACGGAGATAACGCCGAGCATTGATCACAGTCTCAGTCCTGTGCAGCAGACTGGCCTCAAACAAACAAAGGACCGTTATTTCAGTTGGGATTAAGCTAGCAGCACCAACTGACAGGTGGACAGACAATTAGCATGGCTCATAACAAACTGCTTTATTATCATCTTCTAACATCATTATAAAGTCTACAATGGTGTCAACATGTATTGAAAGTCCTTTATATATGTATTTTCTAGATAATAATACAGCTAGCTACCGTTACAAAGCAATTTATTTGACCGAGAAATTGAGAATACGTTTCTTTTTCTTTTTTTACTGTATCGTTCGTATTCACTCCGAGCTTCGGCGTCTGGGGTTAAGTGTCACGTAATATATCATGTTGTGAAGTGAAAGCACGCCTGGATACACACAGGATATGCACCACATTGCCTGACTGAGGCTTGCTGGCTGTATCACGTTTTTCGCAAGATTCAGAACGAAGGTGTAACACATAAGCTAACATGTAGCATGCTTCAAAAAAGCTGAATCCCAGACGCAAATTCCCCTGTCACACACATACAACTGTGGAGGGAGAAAGCAGGGGCATTAGTGTGGTTTATAATGATATTTACCCGTCCATTGCGTTTCTTTGTCCTCTTCAGTCTGTCTGATCTGCCAGCACACTTCGACATACACTGTGCAAGCAAAATGGGCGTTCTTCTCCTTCTGGGGACAAATAATAACCTTAGGGCGCTTCAACGCCACCTTCCGGTAGGGAGTATCTTTCAGAGAGTACTACTACTACAACTAATAATAATACTAATCCTACTGCTACTACTAATAATAATAGTAAAAATTCTGTTAGAGGTAGCGAAGGTTTAAGACTGAGGTAAAGCTTCACCTTCCAGCAGGACATTATTAAATAAAATTGAAGTCGGTTATTGTATTTTTTGAAGTCTACCAACTCTAATGAGGTTGTCTTTCCTGCACAGTCAGGAAGTTTTGTTTAGTTTGTGAAAACATGCACTCTCTAAAAAGAACTCACATCTCTACAATATATTTAAAACACAGATGTTTAAAGCCAGGGGCTGCACAGTGGCGCTGTTGCCTTGCAGCAAGAAGGTCCTGGGTTCGATTCCCAGCCCGGGTCTCTCTGCACGGAGTTTGCATGTTCTCCCTGTGCATGCATGGGTTCTCTCTGGGTTCTCCAGCTTCCTCCCACAGTCCAAAAACATGACTGTCAGGTTAATTGGCCTTCCCAAATTCTCCCTAGGTGTGAGGGTGTGTGTGCATGGTTGTTTGTCCTGTTTGTCTCTCTGTGTTACCCTGCGACAGACTGGCGACCTGTCCAGGGTGTACCCCGCCTCTCGCCCAGAACGCAGCTGGAGATAGGCACCAGCACCTCCCGACCCCGTTAGGGAGAAGGGTGCTCAGAAAATGGATGGATGGATGTTTAAAGCCCTTTATATCAGACTATAACCTTTTCAATTATAACATTTTCTCCATCACAAACATGCACACACGTCCCTTCTGATTTTGCAACAAGAACCGAGATAATGTGTCACTCAGCCAAACAGTACAGATGGTTTACAGCAACATCATAGCTTTATTCAACTTCATGAGGACAGTAGGGAAGATTTTTTTATACATGAATATACAGTGTATGCCATAAGCTTTTTTCAGTGGACCTATTGATGAGTAGATAACCATAAAGTTAAGATGAACATTAATCAAATTATTAACAAATGCAATTACCATAATATAAACTATTAATTTTCTTTTTTAATACAAATTAGTCATTGCTTCATGACCTATTCTTTTTAATAAAATCTCTTTGGAACTATTCTGATTTTCTGTGACACAGTTTGGCAGAGCAGAGGTCTCAAACTAAACACAAAAATGCTTAATCTCAACATTTAATTGGTTTGTTCTGTTTTTCACCGTGTTCCAAATTATTGTGCAAGTGATATTTTCTCAGATTTTCTTCAATTGTCAATGATGGTCAGTATAATTTTCAGGTCATAAAATATTACAATATAAATCAAATTTTACTGAACAAAGCTCCCAAAGAGAACAGTAATTATTATATTTTTTTAAATAGAAAAACTCAAAATGCACTGCTCCAAATTATGCACAAAAAATGACCCCACCACCTCCTTGCTGACATCACAGCCGTGTTGGGACGTGGTGGCCATCCACTACTGCGTCCATCTGGACCATCCAAGGTTGCATGGCAGTCATCAGTGAACAAGTCTGTTTAAAAATTAATCATGTATGACTAGGCCCACTGCCACAGTTTCTGCTTGTGAGCTCTGGTTAGGGTGGTCGAATAGTTGGTTCATGCACCGCAAGCCTCTGGAGGATCCTCCACCTTGTGGTTCCAGAGGCACCAGGAGCTTCAAATAACTGTTTGCTGCTTTGTAAGGGCATTTCAACAGCTGCTCTCTTAATCACATGATTTTGTCTAAAAGGAACCTTCCTCATTTTGCCTTTATCTGTACAAACCCATCTTTGTTCTGAATCAGCCACAAATTTCTTCTCAGTACGATAATGTTTCAGTTTTTGTTAAATATCTGATATTTTCATATGGCACTACACTATCTGATGATTTTGGTCAGCACAAAGATCCTTTCTTTTTCCCATATTGCTTGAAACCTGTGGCCTGCTTAATAATGTGGAACATCCTTCTTAAGTAGATTTCCTTTAATTGAGCTCAGCAGAAAAACTAATCAACCAGCTCTCTGAAATTAATTATAGTGATTCAAAGAGCCATGACACACAATACCATCTATAAATTTAATAGCACAACAAAATTTGTTTTATCTTTATGACACTTAAATCCAATTTGCATAATAATTTGGAACAAGGTGTACAATCCTTTTAGCAGACAGGGCTAATGGGTATGCCTCTTTGAGGTACATGCGGTGTTGTCCTGTTAACCATATTGATGCAGTCTATAATGGGGCAGACACTCAGGCAAAGAGTGCATCCTGTGCAGCTGTCTGTCACGAAAGGAAGATGGGTCTCTGGATCAAACTGTATAGCCTGGGTGGATACATAGAAATCATATTAATCTATACAAAAAACAAAAACTGATAAAAACCAAAACTACATTAAAATCAATATTTTTTGATAATAGAGAAATGCTTCTAATTTAACTGAAAGGCGTACCTGGTATCCTGAGTCGTTGCAAGTCATGTAACATTTACCACAGTTGATGCACATATCTTCATCTATCAGAGCCTGGACCTAAAATGACAAATATGGATTGGCTTCAATATTATTTATGTGTGATATATGATTCTTTTGTTGGTGACTTCACTTATCTTGTATTTTTTTCTGGAAGAAAAAAGTTTAAATAAAAAATAAAGAGCTACAGTTTGTAAAAACAGCTTGTGTACCTGCTCCATGTTGTTAAGTTCCCCATATGCTCCAATATACTGCAGCGCTCTGGCTATCACATCCTACAAAAAAAGCAAACTCTTTTTAACTGAATGAAAATTAATTGATTATTCTATATCAAAATTGTGAGCTACCTTGACAGCAGGAACTGGTCTTTTGGGCTGGTTGACACGACCGATGTTTGTTTCTGACACATCTGCTTTACCAGCTTTTCTGAGTTCACTTTTGTACTTGGCTATGGCTTCAGTTCTCTGTTGTAGGTATGGACCAAAGCTTGGAAGGCTCTGTAAACACACACATCAAAAATAAACAGGAACTATGAAATATTTATTCAAATACCTCTTGTTATTTTCAATGGTTCTGCTACTACTAAATTGCCAAAGATCAGAGATTGTCTACAAACACAACAGCCAATCCACTCATCAATATTAATTCAGTTATAGCAAGATTTTGTTTGTTTACCTTCCCAACCAGGTCTCCCAGCTTGAGAACTGGTTTTCCTTTCTGATGTTTTTCAGTGGGAGGAGACTGACCGTCCCAGTCCTTCAGCTCCAGGCTCTTCAGGTACAATAAGGCTTTCAGACCTAAACACATACTTATACTAAATACGATGCTGAAATCAAACAATCTAAAGATTGTAAAGAGGTTCAAAATGAGGTGGTGTCACATACCAACACAGTAATCCTCAATTAGTGTGAAGTCCTGGTTTTGAATTGCACTACACACCTGTTGTAAGCAAGAGGACAGAAATTGGTGTATTAAATAATCACATTATTTCTACTCAAAATACCTTTTCAACAAAAAAAAAAAATGGTTGGTTGTTTACACAGAAGAAGGTTTTAACAACTACTTATAATATCTTACTCTATTAAGTAAAATATACACTGATTATGAGAAGAAAATTTAGACTTCCAGCTGCTTCCTTTCACAATAACTGTTTCACACAACGTTACAAGAAATAAGTGAACTGCTGGCACCGTTGTTGGCAGAAAAAGGAGTGCTAATGCATTGTGAATGTCAGAGTGACAATGATGGTCGACTATGTTATTTTTGTCCATATAAGAATTTACAGTCTAAACATTTATTGGGTGGATCAATCTCTCATGAGAAGAAAAACAAGCAAAAGTATTTTTGTCATTACTTGCAACACTGAGGCTCCAGCGTGGAGAAACTGGAGTCCGCTCTCTGCCGAGTCGATTCCACCAGTGGCCAAGATGGGAAAACCGGGGATTGCCCTCGCAATGGCTGACACGGCTTTCAGAGCGATGGGTCTGATGGCGTTACCTGCACCCAACAGTGTTCAGAAAAGTAAGTACTTTATTTAGAGGAAGTTGTTTTATACTATTGGAGTACACCACTGTGCTAAAACATTGATTAACAAATCATTCCCAGCTATTTTTTTTAAACTTTACATTGAATCCACATCGTATGGATTCCTTTAATACCATGTTTCCATATTTACAAATTAAAATATGTAATTAACTTTCCAATAGGCGCTTAATTATTTTTTACTTCTTTCAACTCTTTGATTTCAGCCTTTAGTTCACAGATATCCCAAATATTTTGCGAAGCATTACTCTGTGCAAGTCCATTCACAGGTGTATCTTATTGAATCAGGATAAATGGCGTCACATTGTTCTGTATTGTTTTTCAGAAGGTGAGCTCAGTATTTACCAGACACTCCTCCATACGTGGTGCGTTTGCTCACACCGACACCTGGCCAGGGAGAGCCATCAGCCTTCAGACTCATCAAACCTGAGACCGTGTTGGTGGCCGTCACTCCATCTGCTCCACCTATAACACATAACAAGTACAAGAATAGGTCATTTTTACTCTGGTGTTCTTAAAGTTACCTGTTAAACTTTTAAAAAGGAAATAAAAAATAGGAAAAGTGGGAAAAGTTATGGTGAAAAGCCTTTACCTTCATGTGCTGCTTTGGCAATGTCAACAACATTGGTGACATTTGGTGTAAGTTTGGCAAAGAAAGGAATGGAAACTGCTGCACGCACCCACCGACAGATGTTTCGCACCAACACCGGGTCCTGACAACACAAAATAAAAAATGTCAAAGAGGTTATTCGTCTTTTCGCAAAGCTTGTGGGCTCAAAGGTCTAAATAATTATTTTGGCAGTGTGTATACTTGTCCACAGGCCAGTCCCATTCCCCTTTCTCCCATTCCATGAGGACACGACAGGTTCAGCTCCAGTGCATCTGCTCCTGACTCCTAAACGCACATATTCACAATGTCCTCCTGTTAATGCCACCATCACTGCACTGATCATACTTTGTGTGGGATAAAAACCAATAAAATGTGGATTCTCTCACCTCAGCCATCTTGGCAAGCTTTGTCCAGTCTTCCTTGTTGTAGCTGCACATTATGCTAGAGATCAAAATCTGGGCAAGATAATGAAAGTTTTTAGATGTTTTGAATAACTTAATGTTTGCTTCATATGTAATAGTACATATTGTTAAAAATAAGAGTTCTTTAATAACTCTCCAAACTGGTTTAACTAGCAGATGTTATTAAAGACTTGACTTATCCTTTACATTGTGAGGGAAGTCCTTCTTCAGCTCAGCGACAGACTGACACCAGTATGCTGCTGTTTTCTCACTGATGAGCTCAATGTTGAGGAAGGAGCCCAGGCCCGGTCCAAACACATGCCCTGAGGTGATGCCCCGCACGATACGAGGAGACACGTTGGTCACCAGATCCTACAGCAACACGTTTTCCATTCAGATGGTCATCTAGATTGGAGTTCACTCTTGTATGGACTCATTTGTGTTTATACCTTGTCCAGTCCAAAGGTTTTGGTCAGAGCGAAGCCCCATCCTTGCTCAAAGGCTCGTCTGATCATGGCTGTGCTGGTGGTGGGAGGAGCAGAAGCTAGGCCGAACGGGTTGGGAAACTTCAGACCACAAATCTCCACACTGATGTCCACCTGATCTATGGCACTGTAGAACAAAGGCAGCTTTGGGACGGTGTCCACTGTGTGTCCATAGAGTGACTAGAAAAACAACAGATACAATTTCTTTTCAGAATTAGAAGCATCTTGCAAGATATTGCATGGCAGCAATATCTTTCTCCAACAGCAATCATTGACATATCTGCTCTGTTTTGACCCGTCTGACTGTCAAAAACAAACAATCCTCAAGTAAATCTTAAGAAAATGTTCTGACTTCTAGAAACCAAACGTTTGGAACAATGCTTAGGATGTTTACACAGTCAAGTAAAATGTGAGCACAGTTGGTTCAGGACAATTGATTCTAACAAACCAGAGGACGGATTTACCTGCATGTATTTGTGAATGCGCCATGAAGCCTGTTTGCCGTCATTCACAGACTCCACTGTGGTGTTTGCCAAACCAGCAACGTCTCCTCCTGCAAACACCCAGGGTTCACTGGTCTGCATGGTTTCCATGTTTATCTCTGGAGTTCCCCAGCGGCTCAGCTTCACAGGAGTCATGGCTGCAGTCACTACAAAAACATACATAAAGAGTGGAGTGGGGCACTTTTAAATCAGAAAAGGCATTCAGATTCTTTATAGCATTACATATCAAAAATGTTGTGTTGCTACAAAGCTTAAAGAGTTACATGTTTAATGATTATGTTAAAAGTGAAGGTATTTCTGTTTAATATGTAGTTGTGATAACATGATTCTTTGAAGACATCTTACCTTGCGGGTCATTCAGCATGGACCCAAACGCACTAATAATGTAATCAGCCTTCAACCTGATGATTTGATCCTCATCTTCCAGCCAATCACCTTTCTCGGTCTGCTCGGTGCGACAGAACTGCAGCCCGGCGATCCTCCCGTTCTTCATGATGACCTCACGAGGAGACAGGAAGGGCAGGAACTCACACTTTTCCTCTCTGGCCAACTCCATCTGACAAACCAGAAATAACACGTGCAATCATCAAATGATCTGTTTTTAAAGACAGTGTGTCTGATCATCTGTGTGAGCCCTCATCATACCTCCTCGGGAACAGCTCTGATGTTGGTAAATCCTTTCCTGAAGCAGACATAGACTCTCCTGGCTCCGCAGCGCAGAGCTGAGGTGGCGCAATCGAATGCGGTATCACCGGCCCCCAAAACGATCACCACCCCCTTCAACTCTGGGAGCGCAGAGCGACACTGACACATACCTGCACAGCATTTTCCTTTAAAATATTGTATATTTCACCAAACTAAACAAAGCTGAGTTTCAGAAACTTAGCCACTGAAAGTGGTCGGTATTTTCACATAATTTATGTAATTGTTCATTCATTACGACTGTTTATTTGCAAGAATTGACCGTGCAGCTTGACTTCACAGTACCTTTCTTACTGGCAGAAGCCACCACAGGCAAAAAGTCTTTAGACGTGAAAAAGCCTTGGTCCACAGTTAAACCCTGGAAGATCTCGGCCCTGTTAGCCTGAGGGAGACCTGGAGTAATGGAAACACACACAGACATTCTCAAACATCACAATCTTAATATGGATTATAACTGATAGCAATGATGAGTGGATTCGACTCACCAATCCCAATGAAAACAGCTTTAAATCCCTCCCCGTTCAGGGATGAAAGAGTCATGCCATCAACACCTAAACCTTTTTCACAAACCACCTGCACGCACCACAGCAAACACACACACGTTTTGACAAAACTGTGAAGACTCAACAACTCCTACAAACATCAAAATGTGCCACGAGAAAGCAAAAGTGATACCTTCACTCCCAGGTCCTTCATCAAATTGATTTCAAACTGGACAACCTCATAGGGGAGCCTGAACTGAGGGATTTCTGAGGTGCTGCAAGAGCAAGTTAAAGCACTGAAGTGCCAAGATTTCCCCTTTTTCATAAGTTATTTTGTGACATTTTTCTGTACAAAAATTAAGCAAACTCTACCACATGGAAGTGCTAAAACAAAAAAACTAATAAAACTCAATGCATTTTTTTCTAAATTTTTGATATAGACAAACATAAAATATTGATCTGTTAATATTATATTACTACAGTTAGGAAGAAGAAAAAAATACATTGTTTTCAAGTAAAAATCTGAAAAGTGTGGCATGCATTTATTTTCAGTTTTCCTGCAGGAATTCTTTATAGAAGCACATTTTGCCCCGATTAAAGCTGCCCTTCTTCTTTAAATACCAAGCACAGCTGAGTCAGGTTGGAAGGTTAGATAATCAGTCTAATATATGATCAAAGATTATGCTTTGATCTAAAACATTTGATTGTATCTTAATGTTTAAGGATATTATCCTATTGGAGGGTGACTCCCCACCACCGTCTGAAGTTTGTTTTGCAGCCAGTTCCAGGTTCACCATTTCTATAGTTTCCGTCATCTTTGACATTCTTCTGGTCACTTATCCCTAATTGTCAGACTTGTGGATTTCCTGTCCTACAAACAGATACAACGGACCTCTCTGCTGCTTCTAATGTGGCCGAACAGCTTGTCACATTTGGTAATGACTAGAGTTTTACAGATGCCAGAGTAAAAGGGATTAAAATTCACACCACACTTTCTAGATTTCTGTTCATGAAAATCAGAGTCAGACTATAAACAATCACATACTCTGTCTTTCTTGACATCAAACATTTCTTCCTATAGACTAATAAATTACATTAAATGCCTTCTAATAAATGTACTTTCTATCCTCTAGAGGACATCCTCTAACATGTTGAGCTGGTATGACGTCATTATACCTCAGTCCTCCGATGTACTTCTGTTTCTCAAATATAGTGATATTATCATATCCCAGACGGGCCAGGAAAGAAGCGCAACTGATTGAAGCTGGGCCGCAGCCAATCAAAGCAATGGGGGCGTGGTAGGACTCTGGCATCTCATTGGCTGGTGGGAGTTCAGGGTTCCTGATTTGTGGGATGCCCATTTTACTGAACACCTGTACAGAGACACAGAGACAGTCCACGTTTGTATTCACACCTTTGAAAGCTCGCATTATTTCCTGCTTGCTAATATAAGTGAGGATGATTACAATCGAGCGATATCAGAATAAAACGAACTCATCGACACCAGGTCGATTTATAAAGGATATTTGTACCTCAGTAGCAAACTGCTGCAGCCCTCCGATGTTGATGGGTCCTTCTTCAGAGGCGTACAGGTTGCAGCCCCCGACACACAGCTCCGATGTGGGACAAACCATCCCACAGGTCAGACCCAGAGGGTTGTCAGAGAGGATGGCCCTCGCTGCCCCGTAGTAGTTCTGTTACACAGACACATGAACTATTTTATTTATTTTCTTGTCCTTTCATGACAATAGCAATTTGATTGCATACCTTGTTGGAAATACTTGTAATAAATGACTTGATGTCCAGGTTTGTTGGGCAGCTCTTCTGACAGGGAGCATCGGCGCATTTTAGACACCTGAAGACAGAATTTGATTGGCGTTCTTCCACTCTTCAAATTAAATGAACTGCTTCTTTCTGAAAGTTCAAGTTTTTAATCATGCAATGTCAAAAGATTCAACAAATAAGCATCATCATTGGCATAGCTTCATAAGTACTTTTACCAGTAAAAAAGGAAACAAAATTTACATCATTCAACAAACTGACAACAGAATAGAAAAAACTAATTCTAAAGATAGTTCAATTCTGTGAGGAAAGTAAGACTTTTCAGACGTTTTTAAAGTTCTTGTGACCTAAATTTAAAGTATCTTAAAATTAAAAGAATGGCAAAAAATAAGTAGAGTATCAGAGAAAAAAAAATAGCCCATAAAAATAACAATCAAAAAGAATGTAAATATCTAAGTGACAATGTAAATGAACAAAAAAGCTCACATGTCAGGTCCAACATGCAGAACATTGACTTTCTTTGCTGGCTTTGTTCAGCCTGTCATAACAATCTGATGCACTTTTAGTTCCCTGAGTTATGAATGAGCCTGAGGTAGCTCAGGTCTCACTGGAAAAAAATACATTTATTGTTTTGAGCTTGAAGAGTTGCATGTTTAGTTATCATTAAAATCTATCCGAACAGAGTTTTGTTTTAAAAGGACTTCAAACTTTGTGCTTTGACGCTGCCAGCATCAAGCAAATCCTTAGTAATGTTTTTCTTCTTTGTCGGTACAAGTCATTGTTCCATATATTGACCAAACTGCCCGATTTAATCTCAGAAGGTTTATTTATGTTGCATAATGTGGACGTTTCTGTGCCTGGGATTTATTTGATTCATTAAGAAAACAGAATTGTTTCTATTTACCGCAGTGCTTCCCGGAGAGCTCCTCTCTCGCTCAGAGTCGTGTGCTTGATGTCATCAAAGTTGTTTTCTAACTTCATGCAAGACTGAAAACAAGCAGAGTCGAGCAGCTCACCAACTATTTAATTACAACGATGTCACCGATGCGTGTCAGTCATGTGTGACTTTCTTACATCACAGTTTCTTTCAGGGTTTCTCTTCCAGTGTTTCTTCTCTTTCTTCTTGCTTGCAGTAGAAAAGATCTGAGCATGGCTCTTCACTCTGGGATTTAGAGCCAGGATGCTCTGAAAAAAAGAAAATAACAATAATTATTCTAGATAATCAGATTCTAACAGTTAGATTCTTCTTTTTTTTATCTGCACCTATATGTTTATTAATAAAGGATCACTGGACTTGCATTTGTATTGTAAAGCTCCCAAAAAAGGTTTCAATCAAAAAATACAGTCATGTGCAATAAATTAGAATATTATCCATCCATTCATTTTCTTGTCCTTAGTGGGGGTCGGTTAGCTGGTGCCTCTCCAGCGAGAGGCCGGGTCACCCTGGACAGGAAGCCATGTGACTTTTATCTGCTGGTAAAAAAAAAAACAAACCTGCAAAAACAAGAACGTTCTTGGAAGAGAGGCTCATAGAAGGATTGGGTTCAATGTGCTGAGATAATGATGAACTGCAAGGACACTATGCCAAAGAGAAGTGACCTGTTGCTCCATCAATGCATGTCAGCAGAAATGAAAACTGCATTTTTTTTATACCACAGTAATGCAATTTGCACTTATGTTATTTATTACTTAAAATCTATAAGTCTTATATCCACCGAGTAGCTACAACAACCCTTTTCCTCCGGTCATTAGTATCCAAACGTCACCAAGAAGCTCTTCAGTGTTGACTTTACTGTCTGTGCAAATGCAGGTTTTAATGGTTAACTGTTCAGCTCACGTGTTCACTGAGCTCCCCGCTGCCCACCATGGGCTACTCGCTGCCCACCATGGGCTACTCGTCTACAGTTTGGACATTGATCACACAGCTTCTTATGTAAGTTCATTCCCTCAAGTTAAACCCACACTGTACGGTTTCTGGTTTCATCCTGCTTGTATGCAAGAACATAAGACTGCTGAAGACTGTAGTGTTAATAAAGTGAATCGAAAAGATTTATTCATGTAAGTATGATTATGATCAGAGTTTGTTAGATAAATATTGTCTCACTATAGACACTTGTGTCTTTTATCCAGTTTTAGTCTTTTTACACATGCAATGTGGGAATGTGAGCATTTAGGAAATCTCAGGTTTCCAGATTAAAAGCTGCAAATTTGAAAAATTCAAGATGACTAGTTTTAACTAGTTTAATTTCTTGGCTTGAAAGCTTTCTGAATAGCCATCAATGAGTTAAAGTGTTTTTGTTCCCATTTTCAAAGTAAATGATCAAGTAATATGGTGTTATTTCAAAAGCACAAGCCCAGAAAAACATTCTCTTTTTTTTTACTGGTAAAATTATTTCATAAGAGGTTAGTATTTATTCTGGTTTGTTGCATGCAAAATAACTCCCTGTTGAGCTTCACAGTCAATGCTGGAGACTATTCCATAAATCTCTGTTTGTAGTTAATTATAAAGGATTAGAATTCAAAACTAAAGTATTGTATAAAAAAAAGTCTTAAGTCTTAATTTTAAGACTTAAACTTTATAAACTTTATGTAAGTTTAAGACTCATTCTTAAGTTAAAGTCTAAATAATGCTGTGAACATTTTGTACCCTTCTCCTGACTGATACTTTTGTATCATGGGATTAGTCTGAAGAAATTCTAGTAGGGGAGATAAAAAACATGAGAAAACACAATGAGACAAAAGGCTAAAATTGAACTAAAAGGTCCCTCAACAAATAAGTTCAAAGATCCCAATTCATGCAATCAGCTTTTTTTTCCATTAAATTGTTTTATTTTTCACTTAAATAATCCAGCTATGTCACATTATATAGTGAAAAAAATTCTTAATTATTTATGATAGCCTCAATATTCTTACACCTCAAATCCCTCAAAATTTTAACAGTGGTGCTAACGCTTGAGAAACATTGCTCTTGTTTAATAACATTGTAAGTATGCACTCTGAAAACGTAATTTACACTGTGTGCAATGGATACATTATAATATGGACAGTAAATCAAAAGATTTGACTGATTTTAATAGCAACCCAAATAAAAAGTGTATGCAACAAGTTACCTCAATGTCTGGGAGATCTTTACTCAACTTGATGTTTCTGTTCATCTTCTTGTTTTGCTTTAAGCTGATCGCCTCAATATTCTGGGCTTTTAGCTGTGGATTAGCCGTCCGAAGCTCCGTCCAGGACTGCCAAGCTCACAACTGACACTCTGACAGGAGGTTGTTTATTTCAGCGGCTCACTCCCTTCCCAACAGGGAGGTTAGACAGCAGTCCGACGTCCCACAAATGCCAAGGTTGGTCAGCTGATAAGAATAAAACGACAAATGGGGATGTTATCGCTCTGAGGGTCAAAGTTCAGCAGAGCTGGGTGCACGTTTCTGGGTGCTATGCACTTGGACACTGGACAAGTCAATAAATGTTGGCTTCGGGCTCCTCCTCTGAGGGAGAGTTGAGCCCTGCATATACTTCTCCTGATTTCACATGATGTTCAAAAATCTGAACCCTCCTGCTCTTACATCCATCTGTCGTCTGCTTGTCCCCACAAGGTGCAGGAGTTTGGGTTCACCTGGACAGGTTACCAGTCTACTATTAGATACCATAGAGATACACAAGAAAAATACTCATACATAGGAGCAATATAGCAATTTAGAGATGCAAGGCGACAATGCTAACCACTGTTCCATCATGCAGCAAAAAGTCTTCCTTGCAAAAGTCTTCATAACGCTTTCATTTTCAGTGTCTATTCTATTTGACATCTATTACTATTTTGATTGATACCAGCAGTTATTACTGTCATCATTAGTAATAATAATAATAATAATAATAATATCAGTTTCGAGGTTCCAAAAAACGCTTTTTATGTAATAAAGTGAAAAACTCAAGACACAGATGGAGGAAATTCTGTAAATATTCAGTTTTATTTAACACCGTTTGAGAAAATAGAAAAACACTGTTTACACCACGGTTAGCAACTCAAGAAGTGCCTCTTTTGAAGTGTGTAATGCCAAGCCTCTCTTTCTCTCCATTTAGGATGCAACGCATCACCAAGAAAACACGTTCAATTTCAACAAGAACTGTTCACGTAAACGGGTAAAGTTGCCGTCTCCTCTGGGAACCCTTCTTCTGCTTCCTGATTCAGTGAGAGATTTTCCAGAAGCGTTCGACACAGGGTACTTCATTTTAGTGTTTGGAGGGAGCCTCAGACGTCACTGAGGTACACAATTGATGCAGCCAAGGCCAGCAGGGCGACAGCAGTGGCCATGGCAACACCTAAACAAGGAGGAGGAGGATTTTGAAATGTTAATTCAGGAATCGATTTCTAAAAAAAGAAACTGTTAGATCAGAAGGATTAACAGTTTTAAATATTTTGCATACAGTAGAAGAAAACTGATTTTTATCTGGTATAGGATGCATTTGACAAAGAATAGATAAATAAAACCTCATTAGTCTTTTATAATTAAAGATTCTTTGACAGGGATTTGAATTGTGTTCATTTGCGTTCGCTTTGATTCTGAAATACATGCCCTGCTTGTGTGAGTTGTTGTTGTTGCTAATATGCACAGTTTGACGGTGGGAATTCTGATCCTCAAAAACCATAGATTCAATCAATCAGGTCCAATGTGTTCCAGTGCAGTTTAAAGTGCTACAAATGTGCATTAATGTGGAACAAACAATTGGGGTTAAATGTGTTTTAATACAGAGACTAGATTTAATAAATAAATAAAATCAATATTTGAAAACTGCTTCTTGTGTTTATTCAGGCTACCTTTGTCTCATTGTGAAAAAAAGATCATCAAAACATGTTAGCAAGACAAGAAGGTAAAAACAGCAGAAATCAGAAAAAGGGGACAAATACTTTCTGTATCTATATATAACTTGAATTGGCTGCTGCGGTCTAACGTAGGCAGAAGGACCTCACCAATGTAGTTGTTTCTCCAGGGATCCAGCATCTCATTCTCTTCTGCTGATTCTTCTTGAAACACACAAATAAAATGTAATGAATCAGTCACCCATGGTTACATCACACCTGCATTCACAGCCAAGTTATTCAGCGTGACAATGAGAGATGTTTATTTGATCAGCTGCAATAACTTTGAATCAGATTTGTGCTTAAAAAGAAGTTTCTATGTTTTGCTTTAGTAAATTTTGCTTACTATAGACCAGAATAGAAAAACAACAGTAATGCAGATTCATTATGAGGAATTGTAGCAAGTTAATGACTGGACGCAATCAGCTGAATTTCCTTATATAGAAACTTGTTACCTGTTTGACTTATGCACTTATTTTGACTGTATTGTTTGAAGTGACTTGAGGCAGCATTTGTTTTGAATTATTGCTAAATAAATGATGTCAAACCTAATTGTATTGTCTTTTGCAGACTCCGTTTGGGTAGTGATATGAATAATTGTAGGCAAGGTTTTAGAAAAGTAAGTAAAAAAGGCCCCAACAGCAAAATCACAGCACAGCGTTGTTAGTACCTTTTGTGACCTCGCTCTTTATGACTTCTGCAATCATTTCCTGAGTGGCGTCCAGGTCTTCCTCTGCTGCGTCCATGTCCAACATCTCCTTGAACCGGTCAGTCATTTCTGACAATCCTTCGTCACTAAACTGGTAGTCACACACACTCAGCGGGCCAGTGGATTTCACTGGGCAGAAGACACGACGAGGGAGGCAGAACTGCTCTGAAGCCACAGACAAGAGCAGAAACATCTTTTAAAACAACAATCTACCCGTAATTCTTTTCATTTTATGACTTTGTGATAATGGAACCCTAGTGTATCCCCTCTGGTGACTTGTTTTTTTTTTTTTTAAATGATCATAAAGCTTTTACTATCTCCAGATAACTTAATTTATGTTTAATCTCAACTCTAACAACCTGTCATATGGCAAATATATTCTATGAAAGCTTTAAACCTTAAAGATAGACTGTAAAATGTGTTTGTAATGATGGTCACTCTGAAATATTTATCTAAGCTTTGCTAAAAATCACTCCAAACCAGTTCTTTTAAATCCGACAAGCACCATTTTAGGGTAATTTCCAGAGGTGTTTAAATGATAACTTTTAAATGAAAAAAGTGCAGCCAGGTTAGTGTGTCTTTTTAAAACACAGGGGAGAAAATCATGGAAGGTCTCGATAAAACCATTAAACCAACTGGATTTGGTGGAATCAGGTCGTTCTGAACCTCCTCACAGCCCCAGTTCAAACATAAATCTGTACAGCAATAATCATGCAACGAACTGAATCCACCATGTGAAGTTCGACTTCATACCCGTCTTGTTTTTCTCATTTTGTGTCTGCGGCTCCTCCAGCAGCATCTGAACTCTTGTGGCCACCGTAGAAACGATATCTCTCTTCAGCAGCTGTTCATAACAAAAACGTTTCCTATAAGTAGTCGACAAATTATTTTAAGTTACGCATTTTGTCAGCTTGTCACAGGCATCACCTTCTCAGCCAGCTTAGCTTTTGGTTTGTTGCTGTGAAGGAAAGCTCTGCTGTGGATCGCTCCTCTGACCGACACGCAGCCTCCGCACGGCTGGACCACATCCGCTGCCGTCTGCACGTCCTGCAACACAGAGGAAGTTCAGGTAAAGGACCCGATATCACTTTACACAGAATCTCTATTCGCTCAAAGCAGAACATTCTTGCAAAGTACAACAAGAGCAGATTTCTCTGTGAACCCCACTTGTTCCTATGCATGGAAATTATGTAAAACTGCAAACAAAAAAAGTTGATAAAAGTAATTCAAATAAAAATTCACAGTGAGCATTTTAGAGAAATACATCCTCCAAATTGAGCGCATTTATTTAGAAAGAGAGAAAAAAAAGTTTGATTAAATCAAACAAAAAATAACTGACTAATTTGAAGAATCACAGATGGTAAAATTACTTTTACTCTTATAAAGAAAACGTGTTAATGCAGCTGGCTTTGAATTTCTGATTTCATTTTAAAGCATCTTTCAGTGTCCAGAAACACGTTTCGTGAGTCCAAAGTTATTTAGTTTCACTTAATTAATTTCAACAAATAGATGCACTTAATTGAAAATATCTAAACTTTTCATTAGGAGATTATAAGGTGACTTTATAATAAAGCGTTCTTAGGCATATCTACCAGCAGACAAATGTGGCTGATGCTGTTGCGTGTCTTACCGGTGTGATGAGCAACTGAACTGAGATGGTCTGTCTCACATTCTTCTTCTGGAGGGAAACAAAGTAGATAAAAAATATACATATATTTATTCTTTTACACATAATCTGACATTATATATCTCAAAAGATGCACAGAGGTTTGTTTGCCGTTCTAGTGATTTCCGCTGAGTGTTAATTTCTAATCATCATAGAATAGGTGGACTTCACTTGTTAGCAGGTTCTTATTATAAAACAAATAGCAGATATGCTAGGCATTTTGCATTGTTTTTTATATCCAGGTATAAAATGCATTAAGACGGAGAATAACTTAATTCTTAAGAATGTTGGAGAACACTGCAGGTGTTAGAGATAAAAGTTTAATCAAACTGGTAGCAGACGTCAACTTGAAAGTTTTAGTGAAGATAATCACCATGAAATCCAACTCCAAATAATCTGTTTTTATTATCAGGTGCATGTGGATTTATTTACTTGTAGTGTTTGCGTTTACACAACCTGTCCTGCTTTGAGCTCCGAGTCCTCTGGCGGCTTCTTTCCGTCAATGAGACAAACTCCCCTTTCAATCTGCTGTGCCCAAACTTTCAGCTCCTCCTGAAACAAACAAGAAGCTGAATCCAGTTCCACTCAAGTCGCTGTATGAAATGTTTCATGAATCAGAGTGGGCATTTTTTATACCTTAAGGCAGTCATCCATGTTTCTTGTGAAGTTTTCTGGGAGTGGTACCATCAGGTCTACACTCAGGCAACAGGACACTGTAGCCCAGGAAGAACACACACCTGACTGGTACTTCCAGTCTGCTGGTTTGGCAACACTCTGAAACACACAAAAAGTGAACAAAATAACTCAGCGGATCATGATTTACAATTCCACTATGATGCATTAAATTTATACTGAGCTGAGGCTAAACATAAAAAGAAGAAGTAGTGGACAAAAAAACTGAATCACCATATTTTGAAGCATTAACTACGTATTGAAACGTATACATTTATAGGAGGAGAGGACAGTGATTTAACTGCAACAGCTGCAGATCAAAGACGCTGCATTTTAAGACGAAACACACACGAACCTTGGGGTCTTTGACGTCAAACGTTCTGCAGACAGTTCTGATGGTAGAGGTTAAAGACAGACCACCATCACACAGCGTGAGGTAGAGACAACGCCACGGCTGTGGGAAAAAGGATACTTCCTGGTTTTGGGGTTGACGTGCAGTGTGACGCAGTCTGTTACATCATCATCAGCGGGCGTCCAGAGTCGCTCCGAGGAGATCAGGTTCTCCGCCGAAAACACCAACTATCCAAACAAACAGAGAGTTCTCAGACTCTTAGGCTATTTCTTGGGTTGATATGTCAACTGTAATTTCCATAGTGCAAGATTAATAAGGTTATAGCTTATCTTCTAGGTCTATAAAGTTGACCATTGGCAGCTATTTTCACATGATTTTAAAATATGTGCCATGTCCTACTACCTGTCGGAGTGTGGTTAGAGTGTCCTTGGCATCACTCTCACTGATTATAAAAACTCCCAACACAGACAGGCCTCCGGGCAGCATCCTGGATGCCTGGAAACAATCAGCAAAGGCTTGCTGTTTAAACCTGACAACACTGGCAAATATTCAGACAGCCTTCTCCATGTTGCATATTGCGATACCTCTGGAACTGACTCATATTTTATGAACGCATTTTTTAACTTCTTTCATGCAAAAGACTTCAAAACTAAGAGTGAATCTTTTTACTTACTTGTCGTGCGTGCTCAGACACCCACTCTTTGTCCACCGACTTCCCGCCATCTCCAGACTCATCGTTTTGGGGTGTCCTTGTTGCCATGACAACAAAATCCCTTTGGACCGTGCTCTGAAACATTTAGTACTTAACGTGACCTGATATCATTACCCAACACACAAAACATTAAACTGTCAATGATTAATCATTTTAAAGCACAGATTTTTAGATATTATCTCTGAAATAGATTTTAAAATTTAACCCCTTGACATCCAGGCACCACTCTGTATTTTTATTGAATAATTTCAGTTCCTTTTTTTCAACCACTTAAAAGAAAAAAATCTATCAAAATATGTAATTGGGAGAAATATTCTATTAAACTGTAACATGAAATGTAGCTGTCATTAACAAAAATAAGCAGACAAATTGTACTTTTTGGACTACAAAAATATGGTATCTAAGGAAGCTGTACTTGTGTGTCAGAACGGCCCAGTCAAAGCCCAAACCAAAATCCAACTGAGATTCTGTGGAGACATTAAAATTTCTTTTCACATTTAAATATTGAGTTTGTACATGTGCTTCGCTTGCAGAGACTGCTCCACTTCGCAAATATCCGAAATTTAGAGTTGATCCACCACAAAAACTGCATTGAGAAATGTTCAAATACGTGTGAAGAAGGGCAGTGTGTGTGCAAGTGCAAAGTCCCACCTGTCCAATAAGCAGACCTGTGACTGGACCTGCTGGCTGTGAACATAGTTTGGACAGATATCCCTCCACATCATCTTCTACAATGTAGCTCCGACCCATACTGCGAAAGAAAGAGAAGCAAAAGCATTAATGTTTTATGTTTGCTGGTGTGTAGTGGGAAAGACACATGGAGGACCGGAACATCACTGCAATAGACAAACTCAACAATAAGTAAGACAGTAATAATAAAACCTTCCCTTTTGTCACTGAATAACGTGAATCAAAACTCAAGCTCGTCGATTACAAAAACCAGGCTGTGCGTCTTACTAGCTACTCAGCTGCTCCTGCTACATTTATATCTAATGTTTTTGCCCGTTTACAAATAAAAAAGAACCAGCAGGTTTCAGTCCAATAAATTTCACACTGTGTGTAAAAATCCTCCTAGCAGCAACAGTGAAATGTGTACAAACCTGGAAGCTAAAATAATCACTTCTGACAGCTGGCTGTGGTTCGTCAGCAAAGCAAAAAGAGGGAAAAAACTACAAATTCAACAATTGTTTTGTGACATATATCCGTCGCATATTTATTTCATCATGAATGGTGCAAAGTATTTTGTTAAGGTAAACCTAAAATTAAAGAAGCACTTCCGTGTTAACTTCAAAATAAGATAGAAATATTTTATTTTATCCGATAGGACCGATGTAGTTATTAACCTAAAAAGTCACACTGTAAAGCATAAACAACTTAATTCAACTAAATTAATGTCGATGTCAACACGCGTGCTTATTATTAACAGTGAAAAATCATTTATTTCACACAAAATGTTTTATTTTGAAAGTCAAAGTTGTACTTCCTGTATCATCTATTAACGTAGCTTCAGACTTCCGTTGTCCGTACTCTTCAGTTTTGGTGATTGAATACACTTCAGGACTACAGTTCAGGACTTTGGCGTCCATTTATTTCCTTCGTATTTGGGGAGGAGTTGGTGGAGATGGCGGTCGTCTTACTGCAGGCCCTAGAACGGACAGAGTTGAACAAACTCCCGAAAGGCGTCCAAAACAAGCTGGAGAAGTTTGTAGCAGACCTGCAGAATGCTAACGAGGCGCTACAGACGCAGCATGAGCGGTTCAAAGCCGACAGCGGTGAGCAACATCCACCTAGCCACTGTTATAATTCACTGTTATTACTGTTAAAATGACATAAACCAGTTGTAGACATCTACTGACTGCTAGAATGTCTTTATTTGTGTCGTTCGTTGTAAAAACTAATGTCGTGTTTGATCCATTTTTGGATAAAAATCACCCTTCTGAGCTAGCTGCGGTGCCATGCTAGAAGCTAACAACCCACAGGCTCAGAAAACAATTTCTGATCACACGATGCTTAGGGATCTTCTGTCTGAAGGCCGAAATCACAAAATAATGCAAAATATTCTAAAATAAATCATGTGTTAATTGAAAATAATTGTCAACCTCATACATTGTGACAAAAGCAGCCATATACATTCATTTTCACTCTCACAAATTTCAATAATAATATTCCTTTAAGCAATTTACACATTCTTTGTCAACCTTTTTTCCACAGAAAAATGTACTTTCATACTCTTTTGCATATTCTGCTAACCTGCTGAATATTTCGTCCCTGCAGAGCAACGATACTTTGACTTTGAGAAACAACTGACAGAGAGCCAAGAACAGATCCTTTCTGCCACAAACAACCTGCAGATCCTGAAAGAGGAGAATAAAAAACTAAGTGAGTTCTCATCTGTTTATTAAATAACCAGTAAATCAGTTTTCTTACGTTGCTAAACGTTTGATCTGAATGGTTCTCTTTGTGCAGAGGAAGAGCTGAGCTCTTTGAAAGGAATAGAGGATGAGACCAGTGAAGAAAAACGACCACAACAGGTAAAGGAAATGAACAGTTCCCAAACCTAATATTATCCTGAGTATCCCTGATCGGTATTGATGGCTAGTTAATTTGCTGGATGTGACAAGTGTGCTCCTAAATTTGATTAACATAATTTATTATTCCTTTCAAAGTTATGCGATCCATTCTTATCTCCATTTTAAATTTCTTTTCCAACCTTTTTGTCAGTATGAATTAATTATTCCAAGAATAGATCTATGTTAAACCCAAAATGAAATTAATTACATAAATATTTATTTAAAAAAATGGGTCCATTCAGCAGGGTAGATTCAGTGTATGGATAATGTGGGTCATTACGCAAATACAGTCAAACACAGTTATTTATGGTCAGATGACTCTTGAACGTACGTCAGATGTTTGACGTGTATAATAAATGAAGCTTTATTATACACAAACATGATTGTGTTAAATGTGTTTTAAGGGTTTTTGTTAGATCAATAAGGTCGTTCAAAATTTTTGTTTTAATCACTGAAATGATAACAAACAAGACTTTTCACTGTTGTTATAGTATTACATTTGTGTATTTTTTTCATTTTATTTTATTTTGTTTTGCAGCAAACCAAGGCAAAGTATGAAATTGAGGCGGAGAAGAGAGAACTGGAGAGGCTGCTGGAGAAGAGAACGCAGGAGGTGGAGAACCTGACAGGTAGCTTTGTTATTTAGGTGCTCATTGAAATATCACAGAGCTCCGAAACAATGTGCTAATACGGCTTGATCTTCTTTATTTTTTAGAGATGTTTTCTCATTTTTGATTGTGGCTGCAGAAGACTTGTCTAATTTCTTCTAAACTTGTGACGTTTGTGTTTTTAGAGGACATGAAACGTCTGAATGAGAAGCTGACCGACACCAACAAACTAAAGATGGAGCTCCAGCTAAAGCTGGATGAAATACAGTCATCGACAGCCTCTGTGCAGGTCTGATAGCTTTTCTTCCGGTTCACAATGACGTACTACTTCCTACTGGTCCGACACATAAAATCCACTTGATGGCTTAAAGATGTTAATGCTTTTACAAGGCAGTTTACGAAGCCAGAGAGGCAGTTTTCCTTCTGAAAGATAATATATGACTGTAATTGTAGCACCGAGAGAAACGAATGGAGCAGGAGAAGGAGCTGCTGGAGAAGAAAGTTGATTGGTTGACTACAGAGCTGTCGACCAAAACTGAGGAGTTACTCAACACCAACAGAGAGAAGGGGAAGGAGACACTGGAGCTGCAGGGCAGTCTGCAGAGCAGCAACGAGCAGGTGTCAAACATTTAAACACACCTGGGAATAAACACACTGACATACGTCAGGCTTCTATGTTCGGGTTGGGTTTTGTTGTTCTGTTTAGCTCCTTAATGTCTTATAATATTTCTCTGCAACAGGCGAGCAGACTTGAAAGTCAGCTCACTTCTCTGAAAGAACTCAGCGAAAGCCAAAGTAAAAGAGCTGAAGATCTCAATAACAAACTGAAACAGGTCATTAGTCCTCGTCCGACATATGTACAATTTATTTTTAAAAGATTCTCCCCTCATGACTGCTTCTTTGTATTCTTCTTTTACCATCTGTCCCTCAAGGCAAAGGATGAATTGGTTGCTATGGAGGAGAAATACCGTGTTGAGCTCAATGCTCATGTCAAGTTGTCGTCACTTTATAAGGTCAGAACCGCTTAAATCTTAAAGCTCTTGATTACTGAGCACTAATTATTAAAAAAAGAAAACTCACCCTGCTTCCTTCTGCAGGGGGCAGCGACTGACATGGAGGCAAAGAACCAGGAGCTGAGCAGAGCAGTGGAGGAGCTTAGCAAGCTGGTCAAAGAGACAGGAGAAGGTAGAACCTCTGAGTATTTCTTTTACTTTAGCTTTCCATATGCTATTCATCTCTGATAACCTGTGATTGACCGATGTTACGACTTTTCAGCTAACAAGGGACTGGAGAAGAGAGTTTCAGATGCTGAAGAGCAAAAGGTGCGAGTTGAGGCAGAACTTAGAGAGAAGATAAAGAAAATGGAGAAGGAGCTGGAAAATGCAACAATGAAGGCTGCCGGAAAAAACTGCTGTATGAATATTCACTCACACACTTTGCAGATGCCCTTCTGTTGAAGGTGGAGTGTAGCAATGCTAATTTTAGTGCTACTGTGTGGTGTTTTCCACGTGCAGGCGGGTCTTCTTTGACAGAAGAACAGCTGGACTCCATGTGTCCATCAGCGGCTGCCATCGCTGCAATTGTCAAGCCTGGCATGAAATTTTTCGACGTAAGAAACGAACCCAATTAACTGAAGTTGATTTTGTTTTGGCTCAATTCCTGCTCTGGTTTATCACCTACAAAATTAGTTTACGATTATTTATATACGATTATGAATTGTTTCAGCCTTAGTTTGGAGTTTAATTTTTATATTCAGACACCACTTTTCTGAGCAAAACATTCCCTTTCTGTTTCTCCCTTAGCTATATAATGCATACGCAGAGTGTCAGACCCAGCTGCAGCTGGAGAAGCAGGAGACGAGGAGGGTGAGCAAAGTCCTTGATGAAATAGTGCAGGAGGTGGAGTCCAAAGCTCCTGTGCTCAAGCGACAGAGAGAGGAGTATGAGAACATGCAGAGGTCAATGGCTTCCCTATGCAACAAACTGGAACAAGCTCGAACGGTATGCAAGTTATTTGCGCATAAATTTATTTACTTAGTGGGATTAAGTAATGTCTTTCATCAATGGAAAAACATTTTATGCCACCAGGAGATCTACAGTCTGCAAAAAGAGAAAGATGAAGCCAAGCAGAGCTACGACGCCATGGAGAGAGAGAAACTAAAAGCTGAGAGGCAACTAGAGGATTCATCTGCACAGGTATCAGATATTCAGTGTGAATTCATAGCAGTAACCCATATCTGGAGCTTAACATGTTAACCTGCCCGGCCCAGCTGTGCAATCTCCTGGTCGAGTTGGAAGAAGCGCGCGGCAATCGGGTGTCCAAAGACGACGGCAGCTCCTCCGATATCTCCAGCACCTCAGAGGTGAACAGCTCAAGCCAGCTGTCTTTCCGCAGCGTGATGGAGCTCCAGAGACAGAACCAGAGCCTACTGGGAAGACTGCGGGAGCTGGAGGAGGAGAAGAGTAGGGAGCGGGCCAGGGAGGAAAACGCACGGTAAGAAATCCTGTCAGTAGGTTTTAATTTATTGGAAGTCTTTCACAAACGTTCTAAAGAAAAAGGCCTTCTTCTCTTCTTGTCATCTTTTATCTCTGGTTGTAGCACAACAGAGCTGGAGGCTGTTGTGGATAAACTACAGAAAGAAGTGGAGCAGCTGAGAGAGCAGAGGAACCAGCAGAAACAGCTGGCCGACTCCAACGCCAGGCAGAGAGACATGTTCAAGGCTCTGCTGACTCAGAGCACTGGCTTCAGCTTGCCTCCTCAAGGTAACACCAGAGCTCTGATAGAAAGAGCCAATATTGTCCCTCAGTGAGGAGACTTACTGTACCAACGAAGGGACAGACAAATGGAAGCATGTAGTTACAGAAAAATAAAAATATAAAACAAGAAAATATACAACTTAAAGCAAACTCGGATTAAGTGAAATATGCAACTGGAAGTGTCTAATTAACAGACTGAGTTCATAATTTCTTGTTTTTGTTGACAGGTCAGGAGTTGATTCTCCGTCCTTCCGCCCCAGCAACTCGCTCCACTCCTCAGAGAGCCGCTGCCGCCGAGTCCAGCCAGACCGCTCACACAAAAGCTGCTCTAAAACAGGTTCGCATTTTCACAAGGCTTGACTATTTCCCTGCTTTTATTATTCTAACACGGTGAAGGGATTACTGGAATCTCGTCCCGGTCTCCGCTCTGAAAGTAAATCTGTTCACTTCCAGCTCAATGACGCTTTTGCCCTATATAAGAAGGAGAAGGCTGAGAATGACCGGATGCTGAATGAAACTAACGACCGATTGCAGAAGCAGCTGGCGGAGCTGCGCTCCAGCCACGCTAAACTCACTTCTCAGCTGGACTTCAGTAACAAGAGGTTTGTTAGTTTTTTTCTTAAAGTAAGCAACAAAAACAATCCAGCTTCTGTCCTCAACTCCTAAGATATGTGTGCATCTATTTGTCCAGGTATGAGATTCTTCAGGAAACTGTGTTAGCTTACCGCAGAGAAATTGGCGCACTGCAGAAGAGCAACCAAACAATGGCCGCCACAGCTCAGCGGCACGAGCACAACATCCATACGATGGTCCAGGATCTGAGGAAGGCCAATGAAAAACTGGCACTGGAACAGGTGAGGGAGAAGAAGACTATCGGGGATATTGTTTTAAGTTTAAACATCAGATTGTATTGGAACTTGGACGCTATTTTGTTCTCTTCAGCAATAACCATTGATCATATTGGCTTTTTCGAACACTTGATTTGAGATTAATGTATACCGATGTATGTCTTGATAGTTGTGTTTTATTCAAAAAGATTCATCTTATATTCAAATTTATGAATTCATAACGTATAAGCCAGAGAAAATAGAACATATCATTTGAGTCACAATAGACACTTTGTTTGTGTCTATTGTGAATAATAATAAAAAAAATGAATTTCAGCAATTAATTGATTTAAATCAATATTTTTTGTATACCTACATTTGCCTTAATAAAAGACTAACATCAACCAAGTCTTATCCACGTTTTAGCAGAAAAAAAACATGTTACTTACAACTTTGAAAAGACTTGACCTATAAGTCGTTCACTATATTTTGTATTTTTTGAGATTTTATATTTGCCAGTTTACTTTGCAATCTTTTTCTTAAACCCTTGAAACGAGTTTTACCATACGTCACTGCCAGATCGAGTTTATATCAGTAAGTCTGGTAACGTAAAAGTTCTGGATTTATTTTTTAAGTCATCAGTTTATGAACCACTAAACGAGGACTGCGTTTTCTTTTCCCATCCTTCCGTTCTGCAGGTGCGTGTGGAGAACCTGACTAAAGAGAGAGACATGCTGCGGCAGGCAGAGTGTCGGTTCGATAAAGAGAAGGAAGCTGTTCTGGCTGAGCAACGCAACCAGAACCTTCTGCTGACCAACCTGAAGACCATACAGGTATGGACCCAAACTGGATCCTTTTGGTTTCCTCTCTTCCTGTAGCAGTTGCCGCTGAAGGCTTTGTGGTGACTATTTAAAATGAATTATTACATTTAATTCAATAAATTTCTTTTCGATCAACACATGTACATTTCCTTTTGAATGATCTAATTTGTCTTTATTTTTCTGAAGTTGGCCATGGAGCGAACAGAGACAGAGACTCGCCAGAGACTTAACAACAAAATAGAGCAGCTGGAAGCTGAACTGGCCTCAATGAAGGCCAAGCTGGAGGAAGAAGTTGCTCAGCGACACGCCCTCGGACGAACCATGGATGTACATAAAATGTTTCTCTCTTTCTTGACAGTAACGTAGAAGTTCTTATGCACAGCGTAGCTGGATTTTCAAGCACTCTTTACTATAAATGTTTTTATTCTGCTCCTTCTTCCTGGATTCCAGGCCCAGTTATTAGAAGCGAAGAAGCAGCTGGAGACACAAAACATCTTGCTGCAGAAGACCAAGGACCTGCTGCGTGGCTCTGAGCAGCAGGTGGCGGCGCTGAAAGCCCAGCTGGTGTCAGCGACTTCCTCCGAAGCCGCTTCCGCCTCCAGCATCACAACCACCCCGATCATCAGATCTGCTGCCCTGCGGGCTCCACTCAGAGGTGAACATGTTTGCACAGGATACATCCAGCACTTGGAGACAAACCTTTGAGTTTCGGTGATGACGGTGTTTGCGTCTCTGCTCGTCTCCCACAGTACACTCCCCAGTGCCAGCAGCCTCTCCGCAGCCCGGCCAATCGGAGCAGGAGCTTTCAGAGCTGAAGGCTCAACTACGAAGTGCCGAGGAACAAAACGCTGAGCTGGCGGAGCAGCTGAAGAACGCTAATACCACGGTTGAACAGTACAGAGATGTGGTTCTAAATTTGGAAGACAGCTTGAAGAAAGAAAAGGAGGTAGACCAGGCAATGGTGCCAAGTTGGCTGAATACAGTAAAGTAAACACGGGCATACTCAATGTTTCTGTCTTTTCTTCAGTCGCGCTCTCCTCTAGAGGTCCGACTGAAGCAGTCGGAGGATGTGCAGAAGCAGCTGGAGAAGAAGATGCTAGAGGTGGAGAAGCTGAAGCAGCAGGAGCTGGAGGAGAGGAAGAAGGCTGTGGATGCAGTGGAGAAACAAGTAAGACGCTCTCGGCTGCTGCAGGAGGATATGAGGGCCCAGCATCTCCCTTTGCCATGTTAAGCAGTGGAGGACCATTAATCTAAAGAGACGATGTCTTCCTTACACCTAACAGTATTTTAGATTAACTCTGTGATCCACTGAGTTAATCAGTGTATTCCCTCAGACTAAGCTGATTAACTCAGATATTTGAAATATTAAATATCATAATTTGATATTATGCAGAGTAGCTGCACTAAAAGGCGATACAAACTTGTCATGCTATTGCATAGTCACACCTCGCCAGGCTAAAGAAGTGGAGTCGGGTTAAAGTGGACTAAACAAGGTGAATGTTTTGTTATGTATTTTCTGGCCTGTCGTAGTTCGAGATGATTCATTCGGAGTGAGTCTAAACCCAATTTGTTTGTTGAGGTGTTGGAGCTGCAGCGCAGACTGAAGGCCAGTCAGACAGACCAGCAGGACGCCCTGGAGAGAGCTGCCGCCGCCGTCACTCAGGAGCAGAAAGCCACACAGAACAGCCTGCTGCAGGTCCATTTTAAAGAAACCGGCTTCATAAGATTCCAACTTGGTTTGTCTAGAAATCAGACTTTACTCAAACTCTGTTCTTCCCTCAGACTAAGCTGGCTAGCGAGGCACAGGCCAAATACGAACGAGAGCTGATGCTTCATGCTGCCGATGTGGAGGCTCTGCAGCAGCTGAAGAAAACATCCCAGCAGGAAGCGGCACACAAGAGGGAGATTGAAGAAGAACTGAAGAAAACTACTTCCCTCCTACAAGTCAAAACTAATGTCTGGATTACAACGGAGAAGCGACTAAAGGTACGACCGTCGTAAAGGTCATTGATGCATTTTTAGGCTGAAAGATGTAAATCACATTAACCTTTTATTGATCGAAACAAATTTGCTTCCACTCTTTTGCAGGAAGAGTTGTCCAGTATGAAATCTCGCTTTGAAGAACTGGGAAAACAAAATAGTCTCCTGCTCCAGCAGATGGATGAAATGGCTGTCAGGAGTCGCCAGCAGCAGCAGCAGCAGCAGCAGCAGCAGCTGGACCTTTCATTTAGTGAGGACGGAAAAACCACTGAACAGATTATGGAAATCCTTAGGTGAGACCTCAACCACAGCTGGAGTCACTGCATCTGCTTTAACACAAGCAACTTCTTAACCAAAAATACATTTTGAGAATATTTAACTCTTTGATTGTTAGCACAGTCGAGGTTAATATGGGGTCCAGTGGATTTTATTTTATTTTTCCAGCTAAAAGGGATTATTTGATTCCTTTTTTTGTTTTTTATGTCACGTTCCTTTTACTTCTTGGTTTTGAGTCCAAGGTTGTTGAACCGGGTTTGGATTGGATGCCAAATAAAGCACTGGTTTTTGTACATTTTGGGAATTGAAATGAAGGTATTATGAATCATAAACTGTGGTTTATAAAATCTTTCATTTCAGTCCAGATTTCTGAGGCGTTAACTGTTTTTCCTGTCAATTGACGAAGTGAAAGAGCAGTGCTGTAACGATTGTTTTACTTTGTGCCAGGCAAAGGTTGCCGAGTTCAGTGTGTTTGCGTGTTGTTCAGGTTTGTGCGTCGCGAGAAGGAGATTGCTGTTGCCCAGTGCGAGGCGTCTGAAGGAGAGGCTCTTCGCTACAAACAACAAGTCGAGCACAAAGACAGAGAACTGAAGGAGCTGCAGGAAGCTCTAAATGCAGAGAGAGAGAGGATGCAAGTACGAGACTGAATGACTACCTTGACCTCTTTTATCCTACTGTCTTACCTTTGATAAATGCAGAAACGCTTTTCATGAAAAGTAAAGCCGGAATAAATAGTAATGACGATAAATGTCCGGTGGTCTAAACTTTCCCCAGTTGATCAGCAAGACTCTGTGCGAGCAGCAGGAACAGCTGAAGAAGATGGAGAGCATCAGCGCTCTGCAAGAAAACAACCGGATGCTGAAACTGGACCGAGATAAGCTGGAACTGGAGCTTCAGCAGGTTCAGGCTAAAGTAAGAACCAGGCGCCGCTTAGTTTCATACTGTCTCTTGCTGCCTCCGGTTAACTTTTTTTCCATTACATTTTTATTACTATAATAAAGAGAATTATTGGTATTTCAATCGTACTGAAATATTTCATTACAATATTTGCATGCATTTAAGATAATAAATGCTTTCTTCCTTTGCTCCTTCAAGGTAACAAAGTTACAGTCAGACATCGCCCCCCTGCATAACTCTCTGTCCATACTGTCAGAGAAAAATGGCTCCCTGCAGGCTGACAAGAGGCTGCTGGAGGACGACCTTAAACGCTGGAAAGCTAAAGTACAAGTAAGAAGGAAACTGCTGCACTTTTGGTGTTTAATCAGCAGTCTCAGTTGCAGGATAGGTTTTGGAGTCCTTGAATGCATCTTTAAATAGCAAACAAGTCTTGCTGCATTTTCAAATGTCCTTCAAAGGCTTGACACTTACACCAGTGTTCAAATAGTTCAGCATTTGAGACTGCAAACATAAATACATTTATCCATTATCGATACACATTACCATTATCCATCAATCTCTCCTTCGTGCTGTAAATTTTTTCTATGTGAACTCAAAGATTTATCAGGTAACAAGGTTTCTTTACAGAACTTAGACATCTGTGGAAAATTATTATTGTCTTTTCAAATACACTTGTGGTGTTTTATTAGTAAATTTCAGTGTTTGTGTCCACAGCACCTGGTCAGCCAACAAAAAGAGGGAGACGCTGAGGAAAAACAGAAGATCACAGCTGAAAAAGAGGCACAACAGAAACGCATAGCGCAGCTGATTGAAGAGGCGGCGAAGCTGAGGACTGATCTGGCCAGGTACAACACACCTCACCGCCGCGCTTCGTGGAGCTGCACTCAAACTGCAGCAGGGATACAAAGAGGCTCACGCTTTTATTTATCTGATTCTGTTTTGGGATTTAGGTCCAACGCCAGCAGCAATTCAGCTCAAGCCCAGCTTCAAGGCCTCAAAGACTCTGTGGTCCGCTTGACATCGGAAAAAGACTCTCTAAAGAAAGACCTGGAAACCAAAAACAATGAAATTCTGGAGAAGAACAGGACCATCACTCAGGTGAAGAAGATTGGACGCCGCTACAAGACTCAGTACGAGGAGCTGAAAGCCCAGAATGATAAGGTAGGACGGAGCACTTTGGTCAAATAAAGGTTGATAGTTTGATATTAATAAATACAGAAATATAAAACCTTTTTATGCTTATTTCCACTAATACTGGTGCTTGTCAACCGGTTGTGTATGAAGGATTAATGTTAAAAATGGATTAATTTTAGCCAGAGTGTTTAGAAATTGTTTTACTTTTGTGAACATCTGTCACAGCTTCACTTTTTACTTCGTTTCAATAAATATCTAATTAAATTTTAATCAGTAGTGGAGTTCAAAATATGCAATATAAAATATGTTATTTAGTTAATTTTGCGGCTTCGGGTTTTAGACAGAGAATAACATCTCTCTAAAGCAGTGTATTATAATTTTATTGGGACTTTTAATTGTTCTTCTCTTTATTTATGTATAATTTTTGATCTAAGTCACAAAGTAGGAGCCTTTGTGACTTTACAGACTCAATGCAGAAGAGAGTAAATGAAAGATGCAGAGATTAATAATTAGTTTGGGTTCCAGGCGGCTGGGGAAACCTCTGGGAAGGACGACCTGAAGAAGACCCAAGATGAACTGCATACTCTGAAGGAGGAAGCTCAGAAAAGGCAGACGGAGGTGAGTTCAACAGATGGATGTAATTTAAGAGTTTGTGAAAAAGGGAGCATCGTTTGGAAGAAACGATGCTGGTTAACTTTGTGAGGAGTAATAATTCCTCCTTTAAGATTTTCCTGAGCAGGACCAAGTATATTTAAAAAGTGGATACATGGTCTGCTGAGTTAAAATGGCTTTTTTAGTTCATTTAGACAAAGGATTTGATAAAGAAAGGTTATAACTTATGTGTAAATGTAGTCCTTTTATCCTCCCAAACAGCTGTGAATGCTATTCAGATTTTATTAGTATCAATAAATATAATTAGCAAACAAATCTGATGCAAATTCTCTGTAAAATCTAGATATTGATTTACAAATATTTAGTTCGACACCAGATCATGTTTGGCATCAATATGTTTGTGTAATTATGTTTACGAGACAATTTTTAGCAATACACTCTGACCTTTTTGTTTTGTTTTGTTTCCTCCCATCAGGCTCTGAAGTCTCAGCAGGAGTTGGAGGCGGCTCAGAAGGAACATCAGCTGAGCAAAGAAAAACTCCAGGAGCTCCAAACCCAGCTCACACAGAGCCAGAACGAGCTGACGCAGGTGACACACACAGACATTAAGATGCTTTAGGGTTTGTTTGTACTATTTTGCTTTCCACTGTGCTCCAGTGGTTAGCTCTGTTTCCTGGCAATAAGAAAAGCCTGTATTGTAATCCCAAACTGTGGTCTCACCTCATGCAGTTTGCATATTGTCTCCACGAATAAAATTCATTTTAAATGTGCATTTCGAAAGCTTTTTTGAACAGAGCACTAAGGTTAGACGATATTCAAAATTTAGCAGTTGTGTACTAGTTTCAGCTGGTAGCATTACAATTAAAGGTGAACACGCTTGTTTTCCTTGTCAAACCAGATCCAAAAGAAAAATCCTATTTTAAATGTGCCAACATGCTTAAAAGGACGTAAAACATTCACTGAAGACTTTTTTTATGTTGTATTTCTTTCCTACTTGAATCCATAAAACAGGTACTAGTAGTCTCCTGTTGCCTCTATTTTCCATTGTGGTTATTATTTAAATAAATGTATTTTCTGAACATAGGATTCTGAATTTCTGTCATAAATCTTAGTAAATAAATTACTGCTGCACTTTGGGGAACTCTGGTGAAAATAAAAGCTTTGCTTGCAGGTGGAAGGAGTTTGTGCACCATTAAAATGCATCTTGTGATTTTATTCAAGCATTGTTGGTGCCGTAGTTAAGAGAGTGACCTCGTAAGCCACAAAGGGCTTGTGGTGACAAAATAAAAGTTTGGCTTATTTACTGGGGGAAAACAAAACCTATAAAAGCGTTTTTTGTTTTCTTTTACTGAACTCATCTGAACCAGTGTTGGTTTAAGGTTACAGGTGTAAGCCAGAGATGTGCATAAACTAGTATCTTTGTTATAAGCTTGAGGAAAACTCAAGGATGAGGAGAAGGGAAAGAGAGGTTCTCCCATTCTGAAGAGAGATCAAAAATAATTTTATGTTTTTAAGTTTCACTTCTCCTTCTCACTTCCCTCTCTGGCTTGATCTCAAATAATCAATGATTTTTCATTTTACTCTGACTTTCAAATAAAATATGTGAAGACAAAATGCACATTTCTCTGATTGATTCAGTTTGTCTCTCTTATTAATAAGAGTTTATTCAAAACAGGCTCAGCCCATTATCGATGGTCTATAAATAAATTTGTCGAGGCTCATAAAGCGCTTTAGTGCGAAACCACATTTCAGCAGGATGCCTTCAGCTGTTATCGCTACTTTAAATGGAAAGAAGCTGCTCAATATCATTTTCTTTTTCTATCTTTTCCTTTTTAGGCCCAGTCCCAGCTGGCGCAGGCCCAGACCCAGTTGCAGCAGAATCAGAACCAGCTGGCCCTGAAGCAGAAAGTATTCGACCAATTCAAGAACCAACACCAGCAGGTGAGATTAAAACTGTTCTAGGAAACAAAACATTTCTGTTTACGTTTGTGTCATGCAATTGTATTTATGCTTTTAATGCAGCATATTCTTCTTTCCTGATTATAGGCACAGATTAAGCTAAAATCGGTCCAGTCTCTGGCCCAGGCCCGGCAGAACCAGATGCAGAAGATGCAGGAGGAGCTTCAGCAGGCCAAAGAGGCCATCCAGCAGAGCGTTGCTAAAGAGAAGGAGCTGCAGCAGAACCACAGTCAGGAGGTCAGCAACCTGAAGACCTCTCTGGGTCGAGCCGAAAACAAGGTGAGACAGAGATAATTTTTTCTGAACACACGGTTTCTGTTTTTTAAAGGGTATCTGATCAGTTTTCTTCTTCATCTGATGTCCTCCAATAGGTGGCTGAGCTTCAAATCCAACTGAACAACCTGCAGAAGGTTAGGGACAAAATCTGAATCGGTTTGCTGCTTCAAGTATTTGAACAAAATATTTTCTAAAAGTGAATTTAATGATGCGTGTCTGTAAACAGGTAATGTTTCATATCTCAGCTAAACTTGCATTAGGAGTGTTTAGATCCAGTTGAACATATTGTGTTTATTTATTGTTTTGTACTTATTTGTGTGTTTTTAAGACTGTTTCTGAGCGTGAAGCAGAGATTCTGAAACTGCAGGAGCAGCTAATTGAAGCTAAGCATGCTCACGAAGCTCGCCAAGCAGCACTGGCCAGCCAGAGTTCCCAGTCTACCCAGTCCACCCAGTCTACCCAGGCCAATGACTCCACAGCTGCTGGAGATTTCAGTCAGACAGTGCATGATGAGCTGACCAAACTCAGACAGGAGGTGCTCGCTTTAAATATTATGCAATCCATTCTTGATTAGTCTCTTCTGCACTTTTATGTAGACATAAGTAAAAACAATAGTTGCATTAATGTTTGAATCTTATTTAATCTGTTTTCCTGCAGCTTTCTGAGAGTAAGAACAGAGAAGATCAGCTCAAACTGCAGATGGCCGAGAAAGAGGAGAAGACCAAAAAGGCCATTCTGGGAGCCAAATTAAAAATCGGCCAAGTAAACAGTAAGTTGGACCTGAAAATATTTTGACGATGTAACGAACTAAATGTAGTTGTTTTCAAAGTTTAGTTTCCTGTGTTGAGTGTCCGGACCTTTCACCTGCAGGCGCCAAAGAGCAGCTCAGTCAGGAGAACGAGGAGCTGAAGCAGAGCAAAGAGGAGCTGGAGGTCAGGATGAACGCCCTCAAGTCTCAGTATGAAGGAAGACTTCTTCGGCTGGACAGAGAGCTGAGAGAACTGAGAGAGACACAAGCTCACTCTGACGGGAGGGAGGAAACTCAGGACCAGGCCGGAGCCAAGGTACACCATGGACTCCTTCACATGACTACTTATAGAAACACCCTGAGGTCGCCAGAGGCAGCGGTTTTTATGTCACTTTTAGTTATTCGTTTTGGTTGTTGCTTTTTATTAAAGACATATTTAAATTGTCTTCCAGTTCCAGTGTGGAGTTTTAGTCTTTGAGAGGGCTTTATTGATGGATTACTTGAAAATGGTCTCAAAACAGCAAAATTGTTATCGCAATCATTTTTGGGACAATTTATAATCCAGTAAAATGAAAGTAAAATATTGTGACATGGCTTTCGAATATGTTTGTTAAAATACTGCATCTTGTTTTACATGCTAAAATTAGCAGATTCTTCTGTACATTTATTGACTTGTTTTTTTGTATTTTATTTTGTTAATTTTACCTCCAAAAGTTGGATCAGCCCAGATCTTCAGACCAGAGGCAAATTTCTTTGAAGAGTCCTGCTCAAGACAGGGGAAGGTAACACCGACGTCAAGGACTTTGCTTCTGTTTTGAATGTTTCTTCATTGTTTTATGCAGGATTAAACCTCCGTTTGGACTCGTTAACATGTTATTTTTCAGGGACGGGTGAGAAATGATCTAGAAAAAGTCAATTTCTTTTTGATTGTCTCAATGTTGATTTCTCCGTGATCAGCCTGAGCACCTCTGAGCCGCCCACCGCCAACATTCGGCCCACTCCAAGCACTCAGTCGCCCAGCAACAAGCCGAGTCCGTCCACCGGCAGCAAGGCCACCCCTCGCGCCAGCATCAGGCCCATGGTCACACCTGCACCCGTCCCCATCCCAACACCCACTGCCACAGTGATGCCCACTACACAGACGGAGAGTCAGGAAGGTAAAAACGCAAAAACGTCTAAAATAAAGTAAAAATCAACAACTCAAATGTGGCTTTAGATGTGAGAGAGTAAAATGTGTTTCTCTCTGCAGCTCTCATCTCTACAGGAGCTTCTGTTCACTCCACCAGCTCTTCCCTCATGAATCCTCTGGCCTCCTTAACTCAGCCAACCAGCACTCAGGCCACGGCCTTCGTTCAGCCCACCCAGCAGCAGGCAGCCAATCAGGACACAAGCTCCAGCATAGAGGCAGAATGTCCATCCACATCCTCCTCATCCTCCTCCTGCATGCCTTCAACAGGTGATCAACAACATCTCCTTCGGACGCAATTAGCCCTGCAACTTGAGACATTGTCATAAAACACACAGGCGAAAACACAAATGTTTGATTTTAGTGTATAAGCTGATGTTCAGGTTTTGGTTTTTGCAGCTAAAACTGCCTCAAAGCGAAGCAGAGAAACCGAAGAGGAGGAAGAGGAAAGTCGACCTGAGAGTTCCCAAACACCTCCGAACACTAAAAAACTACGACTGAAACCAACAATTGCTCTGCAGGTAAAAGAAAACAGTAAAACAACATTTCATTTTTATCATTTGTCATATTTCTCACTTTTCACTATTTGTTCTATTTTCATTTCTGTCACATGTTGGAACTTCTATTGAACTGTGGGAAATTCATAACCATTTCTGTGGAAAGTTGGTTGCCTGGTATAAAACTACAAGTGCATAAAGTCTTAATTCAAATCTTAAATGGAGGCAATGGTTTGGCAAACTGTTCCTTATGCTTTGCACGGTTGGCTTTAGTTGGAACAGTGGGTTCATATCAAAGATCAAATGGAGACTAAAAATATTGTCTATTATTTAAGAGCTCTCTTCTTTTCTGACTTTGCTAAATATTTTTGATGTGTTAAAAACTGTTTTACAGTTTAAAAATGAGAATTACTGCACAAAAATGAGGTATGTGTAATTTGCCCTGTTGCAGATGGAGGGCGATGAAGAGCTGGAAGGAGAGCTGGGGGACATGGGAGAGCAGCAGGTTTCACCTGATGACAGTCGGGTCGGTTCTTAGAGAGAAATGAAAATAGACACAATACAGATTGTTGGAAGATTTACACATTATTTCTGACACACCACTGTAATTCCACATGGTAGTAAAACAGAAAAATATTCAGTACATCGCAAGGTTTCCCCCAGAAAACTTGCTAGGGCAGTCAGTCTGTCTGTTGCAAACATGTATATATATACACACACACATATGTATATATATAATGTTTTAATTTGTTGGCGTTTGCGCTGCAGGAGCTCCCAGAGGAAGGCTTCCAGGTGTTTTCTGAGGAGGACGAAGGAGTTTCCCAGTCCGTCCCGTCTGACCAGGGCTCCCAGGGCTCGGCTTTGATTCGAGACGTCATCGTGATCGACACCGACAGCGAGAGCAGGGAGAGCAAAGAGGGGGACCAGAGAGTGGAAGAAGAGGATGAAGACGAAGAAGAGGATGAAGAGGAAGCAGGAGGAGAGCAGGTTTGTCTTCTTTTCTAAGCAATTAGTGTTTTTTTTTTTTTTTTTAGATGCACACATGTCTCGGCTACGAACGTTTTCTGTTCATCACTTGTTTTAGGAAGAAGACGACGAAGAAGACGATGACGATGGAGCTGCTGACAGCGGGATGAGAGGAGGAGAGGAGCACAACGAGGAGAGTCAGGAGGCTGAAGATGACAGAGAGGAAGCCGCTCCTTCAGGGGGTTCCAACGCTGAGGAGAATGTGAGTGGCGCCCCCACCAGCTCCCAGCGTCCTGCTGACCCATCACAGAGCGGTAAGCCCAGAGCCCACAGCACCACTTCCTGCACTCCTGTGACCTCGCCTAACCGAGCGGCTGTCTCCTCCAGGAGAAGGCACCAGTTGTGGAACAGATCTGGGATCTGCTCGGGATTACCTCCACCTCCCTCCAACCTGCTCCACTGTACACTCCCCCTGCTCCTCCTCCATGATGCCCCGCCTCTCCCAGCCGCGCAGGCCGTCACCCCGGCTCTTCATCCAAGCTCCGGCGCCTGAACTGGGCCCCCCACACACACAGGTAAAACCAAAAGCTGTCATTATATATCAAAGAAGGTTTGACATGTGGAACAAGAGGTTTTGTTTGGAGTATGCAGCATCAGTAGTGTGCTGCTTATTTCTCAGGATGTTTCTTTGTTTTGTTTTTACTAAAGGGATCAGTAAAAACTCATTCTAGCTCTTCAAATGTTTTAAATAATCTTCCAAGTACTGAAGTATTTGCGATGACACGATAAACGTATTTAAACTTTCACCCTGCAAAGGAGCTGCTTTGTGTTATATTACACCGCTGTCATGTTAAATTGTTTATACTGCATTTAAATAAAAATACAATGAAAACATTGCTGCTAGAATTGGTATTGCTGCAACCACAACATTGTTAATTTTGGAACTTCCTGATATAAATCTATTATTTAGTTTTTAATAAACACGTCTACAGTCTTGTGTTAGAAATGTCTGCTTTTTCTTCTCATTTCCTTATTTAGAGACAGCCTTCTCAACTTCGTAGACCATCATCGGGTCGTGGACCTCAACTCACTCCTGGATTAGCCTCTATGGTAACAAAATGAACTATTTCTAGTCTGTTTGGCTTTATAGTTTACATTCATCTTAATTAATTGAGGATCAAGCCTAAATAGTTGTTACTATATTAGGCATTGACTCTTAAAGTCTGGCAGCACATGTATACCATTGTTTCAGGATTTACAAATGTTGCAGCAGATATTGAATATTGATTTTACAAATTTTATCTCATGATGCATTATGCAGACACTCTGTCTGCCTTATTGAACTTTCAATCATCTTTTTATGTTTAATGCTTGGAGTGGCTCCAGCTAACAGCAGTCCAAACTATTTTCCATATAATTTGGAAATAATTGTTCAAGCCAACGGGACACTTATAAACATTTAATCAGACCTTAATAATGATTAAGATATTAACTCAGTTCTGATACTGTAGAACACACTTCACCCCAATACACATGCTCTACATGTAACACACCTATATATGACAGGACTTGGAGGCCCTCAAATGCTGAGAATCACATAAAAACACTTTTCAGATATGAAAATAATAAGATGTAATACAATCAGTGCTTAAATGATTTTAATAAGTACACGTCTATAGCTTCTTCAGATGATTTTTGTTGGACTCCCCTCTGCTAAGCTCTGACTTGTAATTTCTGACCTTCTTGGCAGAACATTGTGTTGTAACTGAATCACTTGTTCTGTCAGGGGATAAAATCTGATCAGCTCATGTGAAGTTTATCGAGCAGCTAAAGGTGCTCATGTCAGCTGAGAGTGTCTGCGTGTTTCTACAGCCGTTCTTTGATGACGATGACAGGATGGTTCCCAGTACTCCCACTCTGGTGGTCCCACACCGCACCGATGGTTTTGCCGAGGCCATACAGTAAGAGTCGCACACGTCCTTTTCGTTCTTCTCATGGAGGAATCTTTGCAGGCGCTGCGCTCATTTATTCTCCTTCCTTTCCAACAGTGTGGGAATGGCTAATGCTAACTGTGTTCTCTGCCTTTAACGCCTCAGTTCCCCACAGGTTGCAGGCCTCTCCACCAGATTCAGGTTCGGGCCTCCAGAAGATTTGCTGCAGCAGGCATCAGCTTCACATTCAGACCTGGGACAGCTGGCATCTCAAGGAGGTACAAAACACACACACACACACACACACACACACACACACACACACACACACACACACACACACACACACACACACACACACACACACAGTGACTTCACCAAACTATTCCTGGAAATGTCATCTGATTTTATATATAATGCTTTTGTACATGTAGGCTTGGGGATGTATGAATCTCCTCTCTTCCTGGCTGCTCATGATGAAGATGGCGGAGGGAGGAGTGTCCCTACCACACCTTTACAGGTGGCTGCACCAGGTGAGCCGACGCATGCCTTATTTTATTGTTTGTTTGCTCCTTTTTGCTGACACTCTTGTTTCCCTCAGTGACGGTCTTCACAGAGAATACGCCGTCTGACAGTGGCGACAACCTGGCCTCCCAGTCAGTTCCCATGGTAACTGCCTCAACGGGGATGGCTGCTGCTGCAGATGATGGAGATGAGGTTTTCATGGAGCACGAAGGAGAAGGGTGAGGGTCTAATGCAGGAATTTATGTTGAATTTGACGTTATGTTCATTTTTCACTTTGAATTGAACAAATAAAATAAAGATCTAAAACGGTTTGTGGCAGCAGAAAAGCACCGCTAGAAAACATGGCGTATTGTTGTAGAAGAGGATGTAATTCAATACATTAACGGTTCCTTAAAGAAGGTGAAGAGCTGCAACACTGAAGCTTTTTACTAAAGAAATTATTTAATGTTTAGTTTTTCATTAGAATACATACTGGTTTATTTTTATAAAACATAAGAGCACCAGCCATCCGTGCTAAAAACTCCACCTTGCTCATAAAAGAGCAACACAGAGCAAGCCATTGTTATTAATAATTAGATAATGTCAGTGTGCAGATTTCTTGGATACAATGCGTTTATCTAAATCAGGAGGAAAATATGTTGTTTTTTTCCATGGAATCCCCAAAGTTTGTGTATCTGTATTCAGTCCAGATATTGACGTTTCTCTGGACAGCCAGATGCTCATGGAGTCAACAGGACAGCAACGTGATGATGCCTCCCTGCCATCTACAAGTCAAGATCCTGGTGATTTGCTACATCCAATAAGCCTTTAATCTTTTGCTTCCCAATAGTTTTTACCTTTTGGGAAGCACTTTGTTGTTTTCACCAGCATATATGTTGTACTCACTTGCCGACTAAGCCTGTTTTTGATTAGTTGCACCTTCACTGAACGTTTTTCTGCAAATTCTGACTTTTTGTTTTATCCAGACACCAGCAGTGACAGCCAGCCTCGCTCAGTAACAAGCCAGCGTCAGACGAACACCTTCTCAGGCAGAGGTCGGTTCCTCAGTCGCACAGGTAAGGAGAACCGGCAGCTTTCTAACTTTTGCTTTTAAACAAACTCCAGGGACTCCAGAGTACAATGATAAAGCAGTTTATTGATGTGCAACAAGCAGCATATATGACATGAACGTGTTTAATCACAGCATGGGTCCGTTGACTCAAAAAGGTTTTGATCTCTCGTTTTAGGAACATTTCCTCGAGCAGGAAGAGGCGGAGCCACATGAAAAGGGGGTGTGGCCTGACGCCGATCTTACCTGCAGATTTATCTTGTCCGTTGATGACATAACAAAAAAAAATAAACACTTAATCATCAATCTTTCAAAAAGTTTAAAGGTCACATAAAAATGAATTATCACAATTTTATAGGAGACGTAACAGGTTGACTTTTCTCAGACGTGTTTATTGTAAAATCCAGTGAGGTTTGGTGTAATTTGTCTACAAACAAATCGTAGTTTGGTTTTAGATTTTCAGACGAGTCCTGATTTGTTTTTGTTTTTTTATTTTGTTCAGTTTGAACCTATTCTGCAAGTGTTTTTAAGAATAAAGTGGAATAACAAATAGCAGCAATGTCATGTGATGACTTTCTTCTAATAGTCCTTAGATAGAAAGACGGAAAATCTGATGGTTCAAATTTTCAAACTTTTACATCCTCTAAAGTGTTGAAAAGCAGAAAATTACTGCAAAAAGCATTTGACTACATCCTGTTGATACATCTTGATGCAGAAGACCAGTGTTCTCTGCTGGAGGCGCCTACGGACAGCGCAACCAGAATCTGATAGAGTTGGTCGGGTGGCGGGGGTTCTGGTTCTGACCTGCCGGGTTGGCGGGGTTGGTCGCCATGACGAGGGGGCTCAGGATTGGGTTGGGCAGAGACGTGAGGGAGGCGGGGCGGTCGGGTTGGACCAGAACGGGCAGGTCTCCTGTAATCTGGACTCTGAAATAGAGAGCTGTGTAGACGACAAAGAGTTCAGGATTACACAGGAGGCTCCATGGTTATAAAGAATTAAAAAAAAAAGAAAAGGGTAGCAGAATAGACATGTAACACTTTAAAACAGTTTTCATCCTCTTAAATATGCAGCAGTTTTGAAAACCACTTCAAATTGTCATTCCACTTATGTTGTGCACTAATATGTCCATTATATGAAACTTTTTGAAATACAAACTGCAAAAAGGAAATCAAGGGATGTGAAGACTGCTGAGGACCGTGTTTCGTGTTGTGGTCTACGTCCAGATCAGACTGGTGCTTACGTCCAGAGAAGACGAAGTGTTGGGTCGGGTTGGCGCTCTGGGGAGCGGGCATGGACAGAGCGGAGGTGACGGGGGACGGAAAGCCTGTCAGAGAAACTTTGATGTTGATCTCCCCGCTCAGAAGAGCTTCTGCTGCTGAAACGAGAGCAGATTAAAGCAAAACGGATCTCCTCCCTGGATTGCAATAAAATATCTATGTTAACTAACCGGCTTGTTGGGCGACGTTTTTCGGCATGGAGGGTTTTGGTTTGTCCCTGCAGGACACAGAGCTGCCTGGGAGGACGGTGAACCTCTGCATTATGTCTCCTAGAGGCCAGACAGAAAACATTTATCAGCTTTAACAACTGAAACCAGTCCGTCTGTCGGATCGTCATCTGGACATGATGATGCACAGATTTAAATCTGTTAGATCTTGTTGGTGTTGGCGTTGCTGTGTCTGCTTCCTGCTCACCCGGCTTGAAGAAGAAAATGGTCTCCGGTCTGTTCCTGGTGGCCGGCACCACCAGAGCGGCGCCGATGGGGCCCGTCAGACCTGGAAACTCAGAGGTCAAAGGTTTCGGGTAACCAGGCTCCACCATTAGGTTCTCATCCAGACGCCAGCACTGGTCTCCCTGGACAACAGACAAAGAGCTGATGGAAAAACTCCCATCATCATGAAGTAAATGGATCAAATCAATTCTATTTTAAATTTGGGTCACATGTCAAAAATGTCTTTGTGGCAGAATGTAGAGATAAAACTGCTTGTTAAGAAATGATTAAAATATTAATATGTACATTTGTTGAGAATCTTTTGAAATTGAGCATTAAATATCTATTCACAGTCTCTTAATTTGACCATATGGAGATAAAACTGAAGTGATTTAATTGATAAAATAACATTTTATTTAAAGGATGCATGTTGAGATAAATCAAGGAGGTTTTCCATCACATAAAGGAACCGAAAGTTCATTGATTATTAGTTCATTTGATGAGACCAAGGATCGGGAGCAACTCGTTGGGTTCGCAATATCTGACACATTTTTTCATGGCATAAGACAAAGATCATAACTATGATCTCAACCCTTGATGTGATGGTGTGTAATATTCAGCATAACAGAAAAAAGGCTGTGGTCGGATGAGGTCTTTAAAGCCAAGTTGTTTTGCTACTTGGTTTTGAACAGTGATGTTAACTTTTGATAATCTTGATATTTTACAGGATTTGTCTGAGGCAGAAAATACAAGTCATGTTTTGCGCCATTCCTCCTTCCGGAATACCAACTTATAATCCAGACTGGACTCTTTTCTGATTCACATCTCTCCTTGAGAATCTTATTTTTATTGAAGGAATCCAATTAAACATTTGTAGGAGACAAACTCTTGTCATGATCAAACATTCAAGGCGTTGGATTCAACTGAGACATCCAACAAGCTCCAGGCCTGATGGGATGTCAGATGCGATTGCCTCGTTTTGCGTTTAGTACCTTGATGATGTAGGTGTTCCCATTGCAGTCCATTCGTGTGAAGGCCGTATCGATGGGCGACGAGACCCCCAGAGTCTCTCTGATGTTTTGCGGAGGACCAACGGAGCCTCCGACGGAGTCAACAGCCCAAAACAACTCACCTGCAACACATATGCTTTACACACTTTCATCCACAATTACTGAAATCACCCGTTGACGATCTGACGGCTGACCTTTAAATATCAGTACGGTGCCATTGCTGAGAGCGGTCAGTCCGTTGATGGGGGATTCACTGCACAGGTCGGCGTTTGACGTGAGTCCTACACAAACACACGGTCAATTCTCAAGATACCATTAGAAGGGACACCTTGATAAGATCAGTAACTACCTGTCCCGGGTTCCTCAGGGACTCTTTGTCCAACAGGGAGACCCAAAGCCTGGGCCACGTCCAGCAGGGTGCTGGGTCTGGGTTGAGCCAGACCTCCTGATGGGAATAAAAGAGCAGAGTGCTTATTTTTTACCAACAAAAAGCTAATTACATTGACTACTAAACCACAAAGAAGTAAAAGTGAGAGAAAAATCACTGTTTTGGAGGTTGTGAGCTTACCTTGACTGGGCCCAGGTGGACTGAGGCTGCCTGGGTTGATCACCAGCTGGACGTTTAGTTTCCCATCTGCAGCTCCATTGGTGGAGGAGCTAACGGGAACCCTGCCATCCAGAACCGGAGCAACGTTGCTGGGCCGGGGCAGGCGGACTGCTGGGGGCCGATGAGCCCCACCCAGAGGGGTAGACACTTGCCCGGGCTGCAGGCCCACCGGGGTGTTGCTTTCACCTGCAGGACAGAGAAGAAGTGAAAATATCTTTCAGCTCTGATCCGAGATTCAACAAATAAAACTAGAGATGGGATTTAATTATAAATATTGAAAAGAGTTGGACTTGTAGATGTTTACCTGGAACGGCAGGAGGATTGGAGCCCAGTGAGCCGGTTGGCAGAGGGTTTGTGGGGCCAAGCCTTCCTGAACACTGACCTCCAGGGTACTGAGGACAACGCCCACCTCTGCCTTTAGAGGTTCACAAACAACAACACAGCGTTGGTCAGCATGCAAACGTGTTCTGACTGACGTGGCTAACTCTCAAAATGCTTGCAGATATCCACAATGATTAATCATTCTTTTAATTTCGAGTTTATAATTACATTTCATTGACAAAAAACAGTCTTTTTTTTGTTGTTTACTTTATCACATCGACCTACCTGTGTACCATTCCTCACTCTCACTGTTGGAACTGTGCCGACTCCTGGCCGGGTTCCTGTTTCCTGGTGAAGATGAGAAAACAAAGCGCAAGTCGGTGAACACAACAGATAATTTGTTAGGTGTAACATGTTCAGAAAGAACCACTGTTATTCTTTATTCAGGGTCTACATTTCTACAAAACATTTTTGTCCGTTTTCTAAATTGGTGCTTTTTTTTCTCTGACTTCAGAAACATGTTCCATATATTCTCAGTGTGAATTTGAATCCCAACTCTTTTTTTTTTGTTGTGGAAAACCTGCAAACTGATAGAAAAGTAAATATTTCTTTGTGAAACCATCTGCAAAGTGAATATTTCCACTAACTGGAGACTGTGGTCCTCAGAGTTTGGGGGCCTCCATGATGGGGGACGCTCACAGCGGCGTCTGTGGAGACAAAGGCAGCACATTTGCAAAGTTTTGCTGATTCATCGATAATTAATTCAGCAGCATGGGTTTACGATTCCTAACAAAAGTATCTGTAACTATTCACATTTTGGCCCATCCAGCCACAAACCTCAGCGATTTTTGTTGGGATTTAACTTTCCACTAGAAACCGTTCTGTCTGCCGTTTCTTCCACCTGACTTGTGGATCCCTACAGCTTCACTGGAGTTACTGCAGGCCTCTTCGCTCCTTCTCTGAATAATGTTTTTATTTTCTGGCCTGTTCATAGAGGCGGATGGCCACGTCTTGCCAATGCAACCTTCCTCCAAACTGTCTGCTTTGTCTTTGTTGTGCCACTAAAGTTTTCTAATTAATATGTGAATTTTCCAGAACAGCTGGATTTACACTTTATATGTACAAAAAAGAAAAATCAAAGTGTATCATTGACCTCCCTGTTATGTGCTATAATACATTTTATGTTAAAAAAAAAACAATAAAAAGTGATGATAAATGATAAAAATGATCAAAAGTTTGAGGGTTATGAAGAGTTTTGCCCCATAGGACGTTCCTACCGCAGTGCAGCTGGAAGTCCTGGCAGCAGGTGTTGTATTGGACGCACAGAGGATCGCACTCGCACATCCGACCTCTCCTGAACGTCTCGCCGCAGCGGCCCCGACACGACGGAGCTGAGAGGACCCAGAAACACGGATCAGCTTCCATCTGTCTGAGCCCACTGGGTTGAGCAGTTATTTAACCGACGTGTCATGAGATCAAATATTCAGGGATCACGGAAAAATATTCTGATCAAGAGACAAATATTGAAAGGCCTCTAAAATGATCACTTGAAGTGTTCACTAAATCAAAGCCAATTAAAGGCAGAGGACCAAAAAGAGGGATAGGAAGATTGTTGTGAAAGATTTAAACAATATGCAAAATCTACAAAATGAAGAAAAAGGTCAATCCATACAACTAACTTATAAAGTCTAAATTCTTTGAAATAGAAACAGCTGTCTAAAGTAGCATTGAAAACCTTGAGTCAATATGCAGAAATGCATAAACACAATATGAGGAGGAAATATTAATTTAGGAATCTTAAGTCCCAAAGAGGTTGGGGAGATTTTTAGATGAGTGGACAAGAAAAGAGCAGAAACTGGCAAAGAGTTGGAACCACAGAAAACTTCCATCCTGAGATGCTTTGCTGGACATGAAGACAGGAAAGGAATTGAACCCGAAATCAAATGTGGTGAGATCCAGATGCGACATTCAAATTCATGAGACAAAATGCCGAAAAAAAGGCCCATACTTTTAGATTACAAATGTTACTTTGACTTGTGCAAAAAACCCAAAAGAAAGCAAAAGTGCCCTGGATGCCGTGAGTATCTTACTGGTGGTGCAGGTAGCCAGAAAGTCAGGACAACACTCTTTGTGCTGCAGGCAGCTGAAGTCACAGGTGCACTGCTGACCTCTTGTGAAAACCTCCCCACATCGGCCGACACAGCTGCCTGAGAACAACAGAGATAAAAAAAAATAAATCCTCAGATATTATGACAAGATCAATTATAAGTGAATAGTATTGGGAAACTTGATGCACAGATGAATATTAGATCCAAAATTCATGACACTCTTTAGGTCTTATTTTTTTTAAACATCAAAAAGGTCAAGTTCAGTCCCGTGAAAGTGTCGCTCCTTACCTGGTGCAGCAGCAGCAAAGGTTGCAGAAAGGCAAAGCAGCAGAAGCCCCAGTTTGGTCGTCATCTTCTCCATATTATGTCTGAATTAGAACAAAATCTGCCTGGGACAACAACAAGGACACATCAGTTATAACGATATGAGGAGGAAAGTGCAGTAACCATAAATTACCTCCTTTATGTATCACTTCTCTCCTCCTTCTGTCACTGGGTCAGACTGTCGGACTTTTATAGGAGGAACAGCATGACGCATGATCGCACCAGATCTGAAAAGCCACTGACACAGGACACTTTTAATTAGCATCCCAAACACACTAACTCTACACCCTCAGACTAATTAAAAACTGTCTAGGTGTTTTTAAACATCCTACGCTGCCAGTAAAGCTTCCTGCGCTTGATGAGTTGCTTCTAGACTGTGAGCAGAAAGTAAGTTATTTCAAATCACTCTAATTACTTTCATTGGCACTCATACGACAGAATTTTAAGGGCATGTTTTAAATGCCATCTACTATATTTGAGGTAAGTCTCCTTGTCATTTTTGCCTCTCAAATAAAAACAATGAAGTCCCTTCATCTTTTTCATTTGAAGTCTCTAGTTATGTAAGATCCCACTCCCACCTGTTGCCCTTGGGTTCAAATTTCCATTAGCCAACCAGTTTAAATGACGAGGAACCGGAGCCAAAACTGAAGTAATTTGTTTTCGAACATTTTTGTGTAGGACTTTCGATTGTTCATCTCAGTTGTCAGGTCGTAAACATCGTCTCGGAGAGGTTGGCTTTTTTTTTTTGAACGAAGAAATGAGAAATTGATGTAACAGGGCAACAAAGAAGACGGCTTTACGCAGCAGACGAACCGATTCTTTTAGGTTTCCTCTGTCTCCTCTGCACAAGTCAATATGCACAAGCAAAAATGCTTTTAAAAGTTTATCCAGCCATCTGACAAATTGACTGATTACAGTTTCCCTCTGGCTTCATCCATCCATCCATCCGTCCATCCATCTTACATGGTAGTCTACGGTTACAATACATGTGGTAAATGTGTAAAAGATGCTGAATATGTATGTTTCACATTTTTACTTTGCAATTTTAATATGTTGCACAAAAAAAAGTGAGCTGAGGTTGGGAGACATTTTCATGAAAGATAAAAAAAAAAAGTTGACAGCTATTTAAAAGTTTTGGTTTGTCACAATTCAATCAATGAATCAAGGACTTTCAGTTTCATGGAGATTGATTTTTTTGGCATTCATCAATATAGTTAATTTCGACTGACATGACAAAAGCAAATGATGTATTTATGATCAGATCTGAGCACCGCATGATATATTTTGGTTTGGGCACATGTACACATTCACATATATACACACAGGTACTAATTTATTAAACATGACTACATGTTATATGCATAATTTCAGACCATTTCTGTTCAAGAATAAACAATGCGAGATCACACATAGTTACTAACCGGTCTCTGAGCAGTTCAATTAGCAAACAGCACAAATGTGAAGTTTTGAGGAATAAAGGTTCACTGCAGAGAATTTTGGTCAAATTTTAAAACTCTATATCAAAATGGCTTAAAATTGTGCAACTGTGCATCTGGTAGAGCAATAGCGCAATCAGTGCGAGTCAACAGAACAAACACGCATAAACACACCCACTTGTTTCCTACTCACCTGCTGTGTTTTCTGTGTGTTTGTCTTCATCTATGGCCCTTTCTTGCAGTTAATTACGCCTTAATGAGCGCTCAGGGAGGGGTGTAGTCCCAGCGGGGTTGTACTGTATTGGTCAGGCGGTCAGATTAAAGAAGCTCATAAAACTTTATTAAAACCCCACACTATGACCACTTATAGACTGTGGGTCGAAGGCTGGCAGGCGGTTCAGAGCACCACACATGTTGTAAGTGTCAAGAGACAGGACACCAGACAGCCATCATGTGTTTAAAGTGAGTAACATGACAAGAAGAAGCCAATTTAATTGTTTTCAAATGAACTACAAAGTCAGACTTTTCACTGCAGACATAATGTGCCTCATTCTGTCTGTGGCTGCTATAATAAGAGTCGACAGAATAGCCATAAACTTACTTCATGCAGTTTCAGATGTAGTGACTCTGTGATGGACTCAACACTTACATTACCTAATGTTCTTGGTATCTTCCTCCCTCTTTCTGCTCTTTGCTTTTATAGTTGAGGTCACTTTCATGGTGAAGTTTTATTTTTCCAGTGCAGAAATGGCCCACTAATGAATTCATAAAATGAGCACACGGCGACCGTTTTTTTTATTTAACATTTCCTATTTTATACCTTTATTTCTAATTTATTAGTCCAATTGAACAGGAATTATCAAACACATTTAAAAATCTCTTCCTGGTTTTGTTCTTATTTTTATTTTTAATTGAAACAGATTTAGTTTCTCCTTTTATTGGCTGTGAAAATGAGCTTCTAGCTATATTTATGTAGTTTCATGCATCATTTTGCTACTTTACATTTTTAAAAACACGTCTTTTTTGTGTCACATAATTTTACATATGTATGACATATGTGACAAACATACTTTATTGCATCATGTCAATGAAAACATCAAAAATCAAACTTTTACTAAAACAACATTTATTCAGTGAGAAAATAAATGTCATATTAAGAATTTTTTAAATTGGTTTGATTTAAGAATTATTAACCAGATAAATTGACCAGTTGGCCAATCAGATGACACATGCAAACAAAGGGGGAAAAAATTAGTTTATCCATTTAAGCGATGGCAACAACTTCACAACAGACAAATTAGACAAACATGGATGTATCTCTAGTTGGAGCTTGTATTTTCTAAACTTTTCCTAAAGTTGAGTGAGGTATTTATAAATCCAAGTGACACATATATTTTTGAGTTTGTTCATGAGTTTACCTTTCGCCAGGGACGGATCGGTTGGTCTTTTATCAACTAAACAAAACCTAGATGCTAATTTTCAAATTATCTGTTATGTCTTGTTAATTATTTAATTGACAGATTAGTGTGAATAAATCTGCTTTCTTTTCATTCAGTTGTGTTTCCCTAAAAAAGAAAACTTACCCTTTGAGACTGACAGACTTTTATCAGCATTTTTTAATATTATTGTGCTTTTATTAGCACAATAATATAATTATCATTACATACTGCTGTCTCATTCATTCATTCATTCATTCATTCATTCATTCATTCATTCATTCATTCTAAACAGAGAATTTTCCAAAATAAAAGAAACCACATGAGACCGGAACACAAGAGTACGTTCTTGTGTTTCTGACCGGACTCTTTAAGCGACGAACCAAACTTCACCGTATCATGCCGCTGTCGTTCGTTTCCTTCTGAATTTGCCGCAGCTTTTCTTTATTATATTCGCTTCCGCTGAAACATTTTATGCTCAAGACTCATCAGTGCAGCTTTTGTGGGGAAAATAAATAATTTGGTTAAACAGGTGGGTGGGCAGATTACTGTGATTAATGCTTGTTTACTGTGATTAATTTAAGATTACAGTTTTCATCCGAGTAGTCAACGTCTTTGAAGCAAATTCGCAAACAACGTCACTATTTTAGATGTTTGTCGGCACAAAAAAAATTCTTTTAGCTTTACATTTTATTGTGTTTACTAAAATGCCCTCCCTGCTGTGAAAGAGTTCACTTAGATTATGATGGCAGTAATTACGGATCAATCATAAAGTGATTGATCTCATACATTATGTTCATGCATTTTAAACACATCCGTAGTTCAAGATTTTAAGGAGGACATTAAACATTATTTAGGGGTTCTGTTATATTTTACACCTTAGAAAGAAATTCATCACTCATGTTCAAAGTCACTTTTAATCATTTTGTTTTCACAAAACTTGTTCAGTGCAGTTTTGAAGGCGAAAATGAGATCCTTAACTGAATGTTGAATGCACAAGTTCATTTTCTCTGCACTGCAGAAGCTTTGAAAGGTTTTTTTGTTTTTAATACTTCAGTAGCTGAAAACGACATGGGTTTCATTATTTAATGCACATTATTCTAAAGTTTCACATCGAATGAGGCCAAAAGCCTCAAAGCCTTCAAAGAAGCTTCTTTGAAGAATCATCCAGCTACAAAATAACATCATCCAACAACTTTTTGTTTTTCTTCCTGCAGCCATGCTGCTGGTGGACGCTGGTGTGTACATCGGCACTGCGGGCGACCTGAACGACAGGCAGGCGTTGGACGCAGCGTCTGTTACCCACGTCCTGTCTGTGGACTCCGTGGATCCCGGGCCGCTGCTCCCTGCTGACGGGAGGCTCTCCAGGAAGTGGATCGACGTTCTCGATGAAGCCGCATCTGACCTCCTCAGTCACATGGATGCCTGTTTTGTCTTCATTGAGGAGGCGGTTAGCGCGGGCGGGGCAGCACTCGTTCACTGGTGAGGTCAAAGGTGAATTACCACACCTATTCTCCCGAGAATTGTCATTGGAGTCTTATTTTCTTTAAATCGAACCAAACACTCCCTACTCTCACCTCAGCGAGTACCTGCTTCTCTGTCGCTCTTATTTTTACTCACTGTTTTTACACATGCTCCAGCCAGGCCGGTCGGAGTCGCAGTGCCACCGTCGTAACGGCGTATCTGATGAAGAAACATCGGCTGGGCTTCACTGAGGCCTACAACAAACTGAAAAGTCTCAAACAGGATGTCCAGTGAGTGTCTGTCAGTCTGCCTGCTCTGTTCTCATCATAGAGATACAACTTTATCTGGTCAGGTCAATACTTATGAAATTCATTTGTCTGATTTCACACCAATGAATAAACTAATATCTGATGTCTTGATTGAACCAATGTGAGCCACCTTTCTTGTATAAAACTCCAAAAATGTCAAGAGTACAGTTACAGATAGCAGTTCAGAGGCGTGCCTCTCCTTGTTGTTACAATGGGAGTGAACTGTGAAGTTAAGTTTCACCCAACGATACAAAAGTTTTGCTTTCAGTTGTGAGTTTCCAGATGTGTGTTTTCAGGGTGAACAGTGGCTTTGAGGAGCAGCTGCGCCTCTACGAAGCCATGCACTGCGAAGTGGACCTGTCCAGTCCCTCCTACAAACAGTACAGACTGCAGAAGGTCACAGAGAAATACCCAGGTAGACATAGATGAGAAACTCCTTGCATTTGACGCATCTCGTCATTTTTGTGTTTCTTTTCTCTGACTGTTGCTTCTCTCTGGTCTGTTCGTTTGAGCAGAGTTACAGCAGGGCGCTACAGAATTGCCCAGGGAGATTTTTGCGTGTGACCCCGCCCACTCCAACTCCTCTGAATTGTCTTACAGATGCAGAAAATGCAGGTGAGTTGACTTCACTCGCTTTCCTTCAACTTACACATAGTTGAATATGCTTTCTTAGTGAAACTGCTGCTCCTGAAGCAGCAGTTCACTAAGCATATTTATGCCTGCATCGTACGTGCAGGCATAAATATGCCTACGTGCAGGCATAAATATGCCTGCACGTACGATGCTTCATGTCTATTTCTGCGGTGCCCTCCACTGTCTCCTCTTCAGACGGACTCTGTTTCGCGGCTCCAGTATTCTCAGTCATTCTGTAGGAGAGGGAGCATCAGCCTTCAGTCACAAGAAGCCCAGTAACCTCACAGGTAGGAGTCAGTTCTCACTTCACAATGCGACAAACACATCATTGCCACCAAGCTGGACGTGTCCTTGTTCCTGGTCAAAGACACGTCCAGGTGGCTCATGAGAAAATGTGTATTTCATACACATCATGTGTATTTTTATTATTTTACAGTTTCCGTATTAGTTGTAGTACTTGGAGACAAATGCCTTTTTTCCATGTTTCAGGACGTTATTGCGTGGACATGCTGATCTCGGATTGTCTCTCTTAATCTCTAACGTGAATTGTGGTGTTTTTCCAGGAGAAGTCCAGTGCACGTCGTACTTCATCGAGCCGGTCCAGTGGATGGAGCCGGCGCTACTTGGAGTGATGAATGGACAGGTAAGGCATCCTTAGAGCCATACACTGGGAAACAAAAGGGACTTTGATGTCCAAAACTCTGACCACAGAAACATGTCTACTTCTCATCGGTAAGAAAGTGTTCAGAGGAAAATTCTCCAAAAATATTGAATCATTTTGAGTTATTTATCAGCTGTATACTACGTTAATAGGAATAAACATTTCTCTTCCCAGAACAATAATATTTTTTATTTGATCATAAGTTCCACTCTGAACTTAGTGATGCGTGTGAAAATATGCAATAAATATGTGCAAAAAGAATGATCTTTCGTTGCAGCAGCACAGTAATCTCACAAAGACATACTGTGTAAAAAAAACTTCAGTCAGAAGAGACAATCTCTTCTTTTTACTGAGCAAAAACACATCACCTTTCCTGATACCTTTCACAAAGAACAACACAACAGAGACAACATAAACAAGACAAAAACATAAATATGTAAAGATTAGGAAAAAAATTAAAATCATTTCATATATAAAGAAATATTCTGGTCATTAATGTAATTTAAATATGAATCAAGCACTTTGTAATCATTATTTAGCTTTTTTACGTCAATTGGAGTATCTGGGAACTTTGAGGAACTTTCTTTTCGCTATTGTAACCGAACGTTATGCATCGTCTAAATAAGGTTATTGCAACAGTTTTGAACCACAGGGACATATTTTCTGAAATGTGACTCAGTAGATGTCTGGAGGATAAGTGAGCTCTTGCAGCGCTACGCTCCACCCAGAGCCCTGAGAAAAAATTGGCTCAAGTCAGGTTGAAGACTGGAGGTGACAGAGCTTCCTCTGTGCAGCACCCCAGACTGAACAGCCGCTGTCTCTCTCAGTCAGTAGGTCAGGTTAAGTCCAGGCTGAAAAGTCATCTATTTCCCTTCAGAAAAGGGGAGAAAAAGAAAGGAAGAAATTAATTGATTCGAGTTTTGTGGAAATTGCTGAAATTCAAATTAAGCGTGTATGGGTTTTTCTTTGTATTGGCATTTTACGGTCAACTTTACTATTGCATTTTGTTTTCATCAAACGTCATTTTATTTCTTATTTTGTTTATCTATTTATGATGTAAATAAACTTTGACTGGATAATATTCCTTGGACTTCACATTAAAAAACCCCACATCGTTGCTGTGTTTGTGCAGCTGCTGTGTCCAAAGTGTCGCTCCAAGCTGGGCTCGTTCAGTTGGTGTGGAGATCAGTGTTCGTGCGGCCGCTGGGTCATGCCCGCCTTTCAGCTGCATCGCAACAGGGTAGACGAGATCCGGCTGGTTCACATTCAGAAATAAGACACCACACACACACACACACACACCACACCCACACACACACACACACACACACACACACACACACACACACACACACACACACACACACACACACACACACACACACACACACCCCCATACACACACACACACACACATGCCTCACTCGGGAACCAATCTTAATGTGGTCCACGTTTGTACTTCACATGTTTGCAATAGTAAAAATGAAAAATCCCCCCAAATGTAAAAATTTCTAAGAACTATTTTCAAAGAGTAACATCTATGCTGAACATACATGTGACTGTAAATGTAATACACCTATAAATATTGTATTTAAATAAAAAAAATGGAGTGGCACTCAGTGAACACATAGATATTTCTTCAGTTGTGTGAATGAAACTTTGACTTATTGATGGAACATTTATCTCTTTGCAGCAGCAATGTGAAGTAAAGATGTAGAAGCACTTCAACATATTTTACATCTATTTCAAGCGTAGTTAGTTCTTTATCTCAATTTTGGCTTTAAGTCCATGAATAAAACACCAACATTTCTGCCTCATCTGTTTCCTTTCTAAAATAATTGTGCTTTTTTTCCCGCTTAGCACAGAATCCACTGGCTCCTCCTATTTCCTGAAACCTTTCAGTCCCAATCGTCCTCTATGAGAAACAGCAGAGCACGGGGCGTTTCTGTTTTCATCCGGCCTGACAAGATGCCTCGTAGAAACTGTTAGCAGAACTCAGCAGCAGATCCATCACAAACACCGACCCAAAGCCCGGCATGTAAAGGCTGAGTGAACGTGGTCTGGACTCTGGAGAAGCTCCATGCTGTGGGAGACGCTGAAAAAGGACAGGCTCCCTGCTGAGTGGTCCAGGTACACGCCCACCGTGGAGGACTGGGGACCGGACACGCACGTTTTCACTCCGTCGTGTCCGAATACAAAACGGTCTCTGTAGCACTCCAAAGCCCAGGACGCCGTGTTGCTCCCAAACTCACTCTGCCTTCCTGTTCTGCTCATCCTGCTGTACGCCACAGCGACTGTAACTCTCCCAGTCCACTTCACCTCCCAGTAACAGCAGCCAGTAAAGCTCTCTGTGCTCAGGGCCTGGGTCCACTCTGTGAATCTGTCAGGATGAAGAGGACTTATGAATTTGTTGGCGCGTGTGACTCTCTTGTTTCCCAGAGACAGAAGCAGCTTTCTGTGGGCCGTGTTCGGGTTCAGGCTGACCGGTTGGGAACGCTGCAGGAAGTCTGCTCTGCTCTTGGGCTCAGCTGGTGACATCACCACGTTCAGCTCCGTCTCCATCGCTGACATCTTCGTGGTTTCCTCATGAACAAAGCGCTTCAGTTTGCCTCCAGCTTCTGCCACCGCTGCAGTCAGATCCTTAAAGTAACACGGAGGAGCTTCTTTAAATTTGAGCGAATCTGTGGCTTTGTTGGGTTTTCCCAGCAGCGAAAAGCTGTGGAGGAAGTGGACGAGATCATCTGTGAGGGAAAGCTGCTGGAGCTCCTCTTCTCTCCCTCTGAGCTCAAAGATCTCCATCTCTAGTATTTTTTTGTACTCTTTGATCTGACTCTCGGCGGCTTCCTGCTGCTTCCTAATCTGATGCTGCACATCCGAGCGTCTTTTCTCCAGCAGGTCAATCAGCTCAGTGAAAATCTCGCCACTCCTCCTCACTGCCTCCTCAGCAGAGCCATCAATAGCCCCCATCTCCTGCTGAAGCTTCTTGATGTCTTCTTCTCTGTCTTTAATTTTCTGCTGAATCTCCTGGAGGTTTGAGTGAATCTCTCTCTGCTTCTCAGTCCTCTCCGATTCAGCTGAAACTATCTCATCACCTTTATGCTCCTCCACTGAGCAAAGGCCGCAGATACACGTCTGATGAGTGCGGCAGAATAACTTCATCTGCTCGTCCTTGTGATTGGAGCAGATGCTCTTATCGATCTTTTCAGAGGTATTCCACTCGGTTCTTCCTTTGACATCCAAATCTTCACATCCAGAAGAGGAACCAAGCTCAGGTGCAGCTTGACTCTTTTCAAGCAGTTCTATCGCTTCTGCTAGCATGGTGTTCCTTGCCAGATTAGGCCTGGATCTAACGCTCCATCTACATGCAGGACAGCTGTACGTTTCACTCGGCCCTTTTTCATTCCAGCAGCGCTCTGTGCAATTCTTGCAGTAGTTGTGCCCACAAGGAAGTGTCACCGGATCCCTCAGTAGGTCCAGACAAATCATGCAGCAAAATTTCTCCCTGTGCTCAGGATTTCCCTGATGAGCCATGTTAGCCAGAGTAAAACACGACTTTTAAAGCGTTTAAAGCTCTCTGTGAGCCGACAGAACTAGAAGCATTAAATCCAGGAATCCTGAAGTGGCTGGAGGTTTGATCAAGCTAAACCTCATTCCAGATGGAGGAGCGGCGAGAGCTCTGTCAGTATGAAGTGCTGTACAGCGGTGTAAAAGTTTGTGCCTCTTGAACATTTTTTTTTCTATTTTTGTCACATTATAGCCCCAAACTTTTCTTTCATTTAGATTTTATGTGTCAGACCAACACAAGGCAATTCATCGTTCTGAAGAGAAATGATTTCTTTGTAAAGTGTGGAAACAAAAAACATTTGTTTCAACTTCTCCTTATGTTAAAACTCCTAATTAAAGTCTAGGGCAGCCAGTTGTCAGTAGAGGTCTCCTAATTGGTCAACGCACACCATTTGTGTGATTTTAGAGTACAAATCCAGCCGCTCTGTGAAGATCAGGTAGATTTGTTAAAGAACATAATTGAACCAAGATGCAGGAAATGCTGTCAACACCCACAAGTTAAGCAGCTCTCCACTGTTTGAACACGCTGGTTTGGTGACAACAGTAAGTCAAAAACTCAGGATTTGAAGTCTATCCAAAATATTTTTTATAGAGGAAATGAGAAACATTTGATAATTGTGCTTCAAAATGATCTTAATATAATGTTTCCCTATCTGTCGAAAGATTTCTGTGCTTGGACAGCCTCTGTGTGAATTGACATAAAAAAAAAAAACCCCAACAACTTAAAAATACCTGTTTTTAAATGTTGAGATTTAAAAACAGGAATACACACAAATACTAAAATACCACAGGGAGTAACTTTACTGTCTGTGGAAAGAGATGCAAAATACTATACTGTAGCACTAAAAGCACACAAAGTCTTAAAGAAATGAACTGACAAAAGAAAGTCAATAGTGATAAATCAAAACAAACTAAATATCCAACAATCACACCTGGAACATATTAAAGACAAATAATACAGTTTTACTTTCAATTACAGCAATTTAGTAGCACAAAGGTTCATAGTTAAATTAAAATTACTCCTGGTGTTTCAGCTACATCCTAGATTAATGGTCCATGCAATGATTATGTAGGTAGAGAGAGAAGAGTACTCTGCCTTGCTTGATGTTTTATCCAGTTTGTGTAATAAAACATTAAAAAACGTAGAATGAAGAAGCATGATATTATTGAAAAACCTTGCTTTATTACAAGGTTGTTGTTTTTTCAGGGCATTTTTAAACCATTTCAGGGTGTACTGTGGCTCCACCTAGTGGAGATGGTAAAATACATGTGTTATAGACATCAGCTTCAAACAAATAAAATGTTTGAAGACAGCAGAAGCCCACTTGGTTCTTAGCCCCTCGTGGAGTTGCTGTTACCCTTTGCCCAAGACAATAACTAATCTGGAGTTTTGCCTCTGACCTTTTATCAGAAGCTCCCTAAAAATCCAGAATTATCCCTTTAACAAGAAGAAGCCTCCAGAAAGTGACGCCTGCCTTGACCATCATGTTACGTTCATCTAAGGGTTCTGGGTTGTTTGGGGTTTTTCTGAGTTCTTAGTGCTGATTATTTGTTATCACACCTGAAACCCACTTGCTAATCAGCAATAGATTTGAACTTGGTTCAAAGATGTTGAATATCTTGGTTCATTATCTTGAACTTCCTGTGTTCCCAGTGGTTTTGTAAGTTTACTTTTTCAAAAAAAAAATTTTTTTTTTAAAATAATCACCATCGACTCAACGCCAGTGCCTCATTTGCATTTGGGCCCAACTTCATCCCGACACGATCACGACAACTTAAACGCACTTTTAAAACGAGGACATAACTATTACGTTACTTAGAGTGGAGCCCACTAGCCAGGCTCTGTCAGAGGTGATCAGGATGATATTGTAGAAATAGAGCACGCAGAAGATAGGAGATGCTTGATGACCCAGGTTTCTAAGAACCGAGATAGACTGGGATGAAGATCAGACTGAACAAAGTGTAGGAACTGAGGGTGGATATCAGAATCCAAAATCATTTCTTTTGGTAGGGAAACCTGATACAATCCATCCATTTGCAGCTGCTTCGTGTGGCTGCTTCTAAACAACAGTGCTAGCATAACAATACAGAATAATAATATTATATTAAAGTAAAGCAGAAAAACCTTATTAATGAATTGTGAAGTAAACATGGTTGTTTGAACAAGAGCAAGTGTTTATCCATAGCAGTCCAATGACATCATTCCTCTATCTTCTAGAGCAGACAAATCCAAAGTGCTGGCCTAGTGAATTACAAGTGCATGTAATTGAATTAAAGAAAGTTCACGGCGTACTCGTGTTTTACTAGCTGAACTAGATCTGTTTACCTGAGCAGATCCTGAAAGCGCAAAGTGTTGAAGATCCACGCCAGTGGTACTGAAGATCTACAGCAGTGTCAGCAAATAAACCTGGCATTTGACTTATTGTGGTAATAAAGCTAAGTGCAGTGATTCAGACACCAGATGTACTTGGAAAGAGAAAATGCAGGGGTTTTTTTTGTCACAAATGCTGTTGAAATTCTTGAATCCATCGTCTTATTGTGGTTTGACTTTCAACCACAGCTTTTTAGGAGGACAAGAATAATCCAGTTAACAGCAGTTTAAGAATAAGTGTGACAAGGAAATCAATAAAAGCTTCTCCAACATGTTTCATTGAAAATAGCAGGCAACAACTAGACCCACATTAATGTATTGGAGTGCTTGTGCTCAACAAATCTGTCCTGAAATGTTTAAGAACAAGTATTTTCCATGAATTTGCAGTTTATTAGTTATATACTTTCGAATTTAAAACACTTTTCTTCATTGAGTGTGACACAAAAATCTATGCAACACCTTCTAAATCTATGGAATATTTACAAAGACATGTCTTTTACGCACTAAATGTTTTTGGCATCAGCACCACCTCAGACTGGGACACATAAATAACAAAATATACCGAAGGTCTAAATTGTGGTCGAAGTTGTTTTAACAGTTTGTGATTTCTGAAACAGTTTTTTGAAAATTTGTAAAAGAAAATGTAAATTCTTCGACATTTTTGTGACATATCTGCATGTTTGCACAGCAAGAAACGGCAAGGTTTGAATCCAAGAAGGTGAGTTTGTGTACTTTGGTATTCTCCCATTATTGAAAATATGCATGTTGGGTCTGCAGCTCTCTGACCCTTGGCACTGTGTTTTTGGTAGAATTTCTACAATGGTTTTAGTCACCATGTTTTCTCCCCTACCTTTTGGGACTGGATATTTAATTACCACAGGGGTCAGGAAACAGTTTTCAACAAAATACTTCCTCATATCAAGTTTGAAATTAGCTCTCAGGTCACCTGCATGAAATATGACGTGTTCAACGCTTTTCTTTTCAACCCTCCTCCAGCTGGGACGCAAACCTCCCTGGCCAGGGAAAAAGTGAAAGAGTCACATGATGGAGCATGTGAGTCAGGTTTAAACCCCTGACCTTGGTACTCTGTGGTCTCCTTGGCTCATAGGAACTTTGGATGGGAATTACACTCAAACAGAAATCTGCTGCTCTTGTTGGGCCAAACGGGAAAAGTGATTATCACAATTTGTGGTCTCTGGCATTAAAGGAGTTTTTGGCTGTCTTAAAAAAAAGTCTTTAAAAGAAGTGCAATTCATGCAGTTTAGTGTGAGAACTCTTTCTCAGCTTCCCAGATCACATTTTTTTTTAGTTTCTTTTACATTTTCTAGGCAACAGACAGACTTCATAATAAACGTTTTCCTCTGAGTGTGACTGAAGTGTGAATTAATACACATCGCCGTCCAAATATTCCGAGCTTTCATCTGATTCCTGGCGTTTCTTTGCTCTATATTTCTGCATCGTCTCTGTCTCCACAGCAGAAGCCAGCAGCCGTTTTTCTATCAGTGCCTTGGCCGTATTCGTCCCTGTCTGAGGTGCTCAAAGTGAGAAAACAGATGTTGCAGCCTGATTTCTGGTTTGCACATTAGCTCTCTCCCTGGTCTCCTCCTCTCATTCATCTCACACACATCCTGTTTCCCCTCTCATCAGGCGCGTAAATTTTTTAAAATTATTTTTTTAAAATCTGTGTGTCAGAAGGCCTGCTTGTACTCATCACCAATAATATATAGCTATATATAATAACTGATCAAAATAAACTAGTCTGGCTGTCCTCTGTCTTATAATGACTGTTTCTCTGCCTGGGTTCATGGTGAGGAGGAGGTGGGCGGATCTGCGCCTCTTATCAAATTAAAGGCAACAATAGGTGACGTTAGAAAAACTGTTTCTATCTGTATTTTCGGAACTGTCCTCGCCCCTAAACACAGAAATGGTTCGGCTGCAGAGAAACTTCTGACTTTAACTTCATCATTCTGCTAAAGGCCCTGCTCACTACAGGCGGTCTGAGTCTGTCTCACAGACACATAAAGAATGTCTGTCTTTATACCAGACATCCTGATATAAGACACGGTACTGCGACGCACCCCAAAGCCCCGGTACCACCTGGTACCACCCGGTACCACCTAGCCAAGGACACTGGCTGCGCTGCCCTGCTCCCTGGACGTCTTTGATTCCTTGGTGAATTTCCAGGAGGCATCTCGGTGGTGTCTCATGCTGAATTGAATTAGTATTTGGCGATGTCGCCCGTCTTCTTTTTCCCCCAGGCGATGCGCGACGTTCTCTGCGTTGCCACTACGAGGCCCAGAGCAGAGCAATCTTAGCTAACATGTCAACGACATCTTTGCGGGTATCTTCCGTTATTTATTTATTTTTTTTCGACGGAGCCCTGAATTTTTAGATTTCAACGGCATTTATAGCGTTCTGGTTCAAACAACATTTCCTTATCATCGTATATTCACTCTGGCAGTATTATGTCATATTATTATGATTTTTTTTCATGTTACTACTACTTTATTCTCAAAATATTATGACATTTCAATGTAAACTTTGTTCTTGTGTTATTATGAATTTATTGTGACTTTTTATTTAAATATTATGACTTTTTTTTCTCATAATAAAACTTTTTTTTTCTTAGCCTGGCTCTAATCCTCTGTCGTACATAAGAGGCAAGATTTAATTTTCTTTCTTTATTTTTTTGTTCATTACTTTTAAGTTGACTAAAGTCGCCGAATCACATTAGCAGCGAAAATAAATAAATAAAATACCCTCGTTTTCTCTCCATACTTGCCTCATAAATTTGATTGGCTGCTTCTTCTCACTGTTGCTCCTCCTGTGTCGCCCCCTACAGGTGATTCACCGGTGGTTTTCTTAGATT